TCCCAAGGCAGGCATAGCAGTTCAAGTGGTGCTGGAGCTTCCTAATGGGTATCCAGTAGAAGTGCAAGCGTTGTTGGATTCTGGGGCCTCTGCCAACTTTTTCAGTAGAGACTTCGCTTTAGAATACCAGCTGCACCTGTTGCCACTAGATTTCCCCTTGCAAATGACCACCATTGATGGGAGAGAGCTGCTGGGAGGGGAAGTCACGCACCAGACACCCCCGATGAGGATGAGAGTTTCCAGGTGTGTGGAAACCATTTAATTTCATGTGGCCACCTTGGCAGGACCCCCCCCCCCATTATTCTGGGAATGAGTTGGTTGGTACTCCATGACCCGGTGGTGTCGTGGCATCAACGGTCCCTTACCTTTGGGTCGGCACACTGTGTGGAACACTGTTGGGGGGGGAGGAGCCATGGGTGGCTATGGCTAAGGTTGCTGGATCGACTCTGGAGGAAAGAGCGTTCCGTGACAATATGCGGATTTGAAGAAGGTGTTCAGTGAGAGGGAGGCTAACAGGCTGCCCCCCCCGACCCTATGACTGCCACATCAATCTGGTCCCAGGGGCCAAGCTGCCAGTGGGTAAGCTGTATTCGATGTCCGAGCAAGAGATGCAAGAGTTGAGGCAGTTTATTGACAAAAATTTAAAGAGGGGTTTCATAAGGGAATCCAAGGCAGTGGGGGGCAGTCCAGTGTTCTTTGTGGACAAGTGAGGGACAAACAAGCACCGTCTCGTCGTGGACTTCAGGGTCCTAAACAGTTTAACAGAACCCATGGCCTTCCCATTGCCTAGAATCGACGAAGTTTTGGCGCGAGTGAGGCAAGGGAAGTTTTTTACCAAGCTGGACCTCGGGAGTGTACAATCTGATTAGGGTACGGGAGGGAGACGAATGGAAGACAACCATGTTCACCCCCCTTGGGGTATTTGAATATCTCGTTATGCCGTTTGGATTACAAGCGGGCAGCGCATGCTTCCAAGCCTTTATGCACCACGTGTTGGGTCCCCTGCTGTACAAGAATTGCGTGGCCTTTTTGGATGACGTTTTAATCTATTCGGAAGACGAAGTGCAGCACGTGAGCAATGCCAGGCAAGTGTTGGAGAGATTGAAGGAGCATCAGTTGTGGGCCAAGCTGGAGAAGTGTCAATTCCATGCTCGGGAGGTTGAGTTCCTGGGGTACCGGCTGTCGGACAAGGGGCTGGCCATGGATCCAGAGAAGGTGAAGGCAGTGCTGGACTGGAAGAGCCCCAAGACAAAGAAGGATGTGCAACGGTTCCTGGGCTTCAGCAACTTCTACAGAAAGTTTATCAAGAACTTTGCACACTTGACAGCACCAATAACTGATTGTCTCAGTGGTAAGAAGAAGTTTCCGTGGACAAGGGAAGCGCAGCAGGCCTTTGAAAGTTTAAAAAAGGCCTTCGCATCTGAGGAGCAGCTCCTGCACGTTGATCCTGGGAAGCCTTTGAGGGTGGAGACGAACACTTCATACCGAGCCATCGGAGCAGTGCTGTTGCAGCAAGGTCCAGGGGAGGATTGGAGGCCTCATGCCTTTTTCTCCAGGAAACTGAACAAATCGGAGCAAAATTTACACTATTTATGACAAGGAATTGCTAGCCATTTATGCGGCTTTAAAGCAGTGGAGACAATTTTTGATCGGGGCGCAGCACCAGATCCAGGTACGAACGGACCACAAAAACCTGGAATACTGGCACACAGCGCGCGTGCTCAACCAGAGACAGGTCAAGTGGGCGGAGGCTTTTTCTCAGTATAACTTTAAGATACAATACGTCTCTGGGGGGGCAAAACGTGAGAGCGGACACACTTTCCAGGAAGCCAGAGTACATGGAAGAGGAAGGGCCGCCCGTGGCCAGGCAAATGTTCCAAGAGGACAAATGGTCGTGTGGGGGAGCACTGACAGGGGAGGTGGAACTGGTTGGGCTCACCAGACAAGATGAGTTTGCTCAAACTAAAATTAGGGAACTTAGAGATGGTCAGGGAGCAAATGGGGGTTTTGAGGAGAAAGGAGGGCTCTTGTTCTACAAAGGGGCACTGTATGTACCGGGAGAGCCATTGAGGGCCAAAATCCTCAGACAGCTCCATGACAACCCCACAGCTGGGCATTTTGGGCAACATAAGACCATGTTGCTAGTCACCAGGCAGTTCTGGTGGCCCAAGGGAAGGGAAGATGTACAGGAATATGTCCAAGGGTGTGACAGGTGTCAGAGGGTCAAAGGAGAAAGAGCAGCACCGGCGGGGTTACTGGAACCCTTACCAACACCGGGGAGACCCTGGGAGGTGGTGTCCATAGATTTCATGACGGATCTGCCCAGGTCAAGAGGTAAGACGCGGTGATGGTGGTGGTCGATCTGCTGACCAAAATGTGTCACTTTGTGGCATGTTCCCATGCGGTGACAGCCGAGGAAACTGCCAAGCTGTTCGTGGATCACGTCTTTCGACTGTATGGGGCCCCATTGAGGGTCGTCTCCAATCGCGGAAGACAATTCACCTCGCGGTTCTGGCGTAAACCCATGAGCTTGTTGCAGGTAGAGGTGAGCTTCTCGATGGCAAGACACCCAGAAACCAACGGGCAGGCCGAGAGAGCTAACACCATATTGCAGCAGTACCTACGCTGCTATGTCAGAGGCAGAATGATTGGGTGGAGAAATTAGCGCTGGCTGAGTTTGCATACAATAATGCTAAACGTGTGTCCACGGGGATGAGCCCCTTTATGGCCAACTACGGGTGTCACCCCAGAGCCTCCCCAGGACGGGGAGAGGAGGAATGGAGTGTTCCAGCTGTAGAGCAGTTTGCAGAAGAGATGGAGGCTTTGCACCAGCAGCTCCAATTGAACCTGGAGAGGGCCAAAGAGGTATATAAAAAGCAGGCAGACAGGCATCGCAGGCCAGGGGAGGTCATACGGGTGGGGGACAGAGTGTGGTTGTCATCCCAGGGGTTGCCCTTAAGAGGGGGTTGCAAAAAACTGCAGCCTAGACGGCTGGGACCCTTTGAGGTAATTCATCAGGTCAACCCAGTGACGTTCAGGCTAAAATTGCCAGACAGCATGAGAATACATCCGGTGTTTCATAGGTCCTTGCTTTCGCCTTACAGGGAGGGGCACGGCTTCCCAGGAAGGGAGGAAGGGGTGTTCACCCATCCACGCGTAGAGGAGAGGGAACGCTGTAATTAAGTGATGGAAATACTTGACTCCAGGTGGAAGGGGCACCAGCTAGAGTACTTGATTGCCTGGGAGGGGGAGCCCAGTTCAGAAAACGCGTGGGTTCCCGCAGACTCCATCATGGAGGAGTATCTGGTGGAGGAATTCCATGCTCTTTTCCCACACAAGCCAAAACCCCAGGGAAGGTTCTTGGAGGAAGTGTTTGGACCCACAGAGGACGAGGTGGACTTCGTAGGCTTCCCATCCTCAGCGGAGGAGGAGGGACTACGGGATGAAGTCGTGGAGATGTCTGAGGGGGAGGAACCTGACTGAGAGTTCCCACCGGTGAGGGGGAACACAGGAGAATGGAAAGCGGTTTTTGAATCCACTGAGGAAGACTATTCTTTCCGGGGTTTCCCCCCCTCTCCTACCAACGCCCAGGAGGGGGATGCTGTTAGAGACCCCACCAGCAGGGAGGGGGGTCTTGGGGTGGATGTCAGGGAACTGCCATCAGCTCGGAGGCGAGAGGTGGAAGGGCAGTTGTGTTATAGGGAGCCTCCGAAGATCTTGCGAAGCAGTTCTTCCTCTGGTGAGGAGGGAAGCCCTGCCTCCAGTGGGGAAGGGGCGCAGGGATCAGAAGATGCTAGGGAGAGCCTCAGCACCAAGCCTGAGCAAAGCAGAGGGGAGGCAAGTCCCCCTTTGCCAGCGCCCACTCTGCACAGTAGGTTTGGGCGCAGAGAGGGGAGGAGAAGGATGGGGGCCACACGACTGTTATGCTGGGGAAGGTATAAGGACTGCCCACTCCCAGATTCTGCTAGCGACTGAGCAGACATGGACTTGCAACGCTCTGCACTGTAAATAGTTTTGTACAGATAATAAAGCCTGGAAAAGACAGGTTGGAGTCTTGCCTGTTTGCTCTCGAGCAACCACACCAGCACCTGACACCATAGAAATTTGTTCAGGTATTGATTTCGTTTCCACACACCCCAGTATATTTCTTCTGTGCTATAGGTTGCTCTGAGTGCTCTACCAAGAGAAGATTGGAGCAATGTCTAAGACAGCCTTGTAAAAGAGCTTCCAAAAGTTACTAGCCTGTTGTTGCTTTTAGTTGGCATGGTAAGAGGCTAGTGGCCTCCATTTATGTGCTAACTGCAGCATTGGGGAAAGCCCTTCATCTTTAGCTATTATCTGATTTTGACAAAACACAGCCTATAGTGAGGAAATTTAAACCACAGGATAAAGCTTTAAAACTGAAACAGTCAATATAAAACAGAAATCTAGAATTTTGAACAGTTTATCATCACAAACTAAAGGGCTAGGTATTTTCTAAGTTTGCTAAATCAGGTGCATGAGCAAAAACAAGGAACCATTCAGTGGACTGTGTTATCTTTTCAGACATGATGCTAAACTATGAATTGACACTGGGACTCAAATGCACTCCCCTTCCCTCTTCCTTTACTGTGATGTAAGAAGGAGAGTGGACACTTCCTCCTTTAAACTAATCAGAGTTTCCTGTTGTGTTCGAACATGGAGGGGGGGGGCTGTTAATTTAAACTATGGTTAATTCAAACAAGCCAGGTTCAAATCATAATTTATGATCCCTAGCTGGCTTGAACTAACCACAGTTTCCCAAACTTTAGATGTAACAAAGAGCTCCAGTTAGATTCAAAGCAAGTAGATGCTTCCAGTCTCCTTTTAGTAGCTGGTTCACTGAGGAATGGGGAGCAAATAAATCTGAGAATCATTTGTGTAATTAAATGTGATTAAATAATCAAGGTTTTGGTTGAGTTCTGTGGTGTATTTGAATAAACCGATGCATTTAGATTTAGCCTGCACAGATTTTTTAATCTATGAATGTGCCACAGGATTTTAAGTTCAGAGCATTGAAGAAAGTACGAATCTTTGATGCTCCTGATGAACTCCCCAAAGAGCGTTCCAGTCTTCTTGCTGTATCCAACAAATATGGATTACTGTTTGCTGGCTGTGCAGCTGGACTGCAGATCTTCGAGACAAAAAACCTTCTAATGCAGATTCCAGTGGGGGATTCTCCTAATAAAATAGGTAAGTTTTTTCTCTTTCCTCACCCTCATCCCCAGCCTTCCTTAATTTTTATCTATAGAGATGTATTTTTTAGCATTAAGCATAAACTCACTTGTTCTGCTTTGAATACCCATCATAAGCTTTGGGGTGGCAAGTATCCTTTGCAAATTATAGGGCTGGGATTTTTTTACCTATTTGGGCTCATGTAGCATAGTGGATAAGGGACAGCTAAACATCTGGAAGTCTGCATTCAACTGTTGCCTCATTCATTAACTTGGTTGCCCTAAGTAAGTCTCCATTTTCTTTTTTTCATTTTTTCCCTTTTGGATTTTTACAATTTTATATTCAGTCAAACAGCACAATATAACATTGGTCATATATAAGAAAAAGTACCATCCCCTCTGTGACTTCCCTCAACTTCCCCTTCTGGTTCTTTAAATATTTACTGCTTGTTGTTGTTGTTTAGTCGTTTAGTCGTGTCCGACTCTTCGTGACCCCATGGACCAGGGCACGCCAGGCACTCCTGTCTTCCACTGCCTCCCGCAGTTTGTTCAAACTCATGCTGTTAGCTTTGAGAACACTATCCAACCATCTCGTCCTCTGTCGTCCCCTTCTCCTTGTGCCCTCCATCTTTCCCAACATCAGGTTCTTTTCCAGGGAGTCTTCTCTTCTCATGAGGTGGCCAAAGTATTGGAGCCTCAGCTTCACGATCTGTCCTTCCAGTGAGCACTCAGGGCTGATTTCCTTCAGAATGGGGAGGTTTGATCTTCTTGCAGTCCATGGGACTCACTAGAGTCTCCTCCAGCACCATAATTCAAAAGCATCAATTCTTCGGCGATCAGCCTTCTTTATGGTCCAGCTCTCACTTCCATACATCACTACTGGGAAAACCATGGCTTTAACTATACGGAACATTGTTGGCAAGGTGATGTCTCTGCTTTTTAAGATGCTGTCTAGGTTTGTCATTGCTTTTCTCCCAAGAAGCAGGGGTCTTTTAATTTCGTGGCTGCTGTCACCATCTGCAGTGATCATGGAGCCCAAGAAAGTAAAATCTCTCACTGCCTCCATTTCTTCCCCTTCTATTTGCCAGGAGGTGATGGGACCAGTGGCCGTGATCTTCGTTTTTTTGCTGTTGAGCTTCAGACCATATTTTGCGCTCTCCTCTTTCACCCTCATTAAAAGGTTCTTTAATTCCTCCTCACTTTCTGCCCTCAATGTTCTGTCATCTGCATATCTGAGGTTGTTGATATTTCTTCCGGCAATCTTAATTCTGGCTAGGGATTCATCCAGCCCAGCCTTTCGCATGATGAATTCTGCATATACCGGTAAGTTAAATAAGCAGGGAGACAATATACAGCCTTGTCGTACTCCTTTCCCAATTTTGAACCAATCAGTTGTTCCATATCCAGTTCTAACTGTAGCTTCTTGTCCCACATAGAGATTTCTCGGGAGACAGATGAGGTGATCAGGCACTCCCATTTCTTTAAGAACTTGCCATAGTTTGCTGTGGTCGACACAGTCAAAGGCTTTTACATAGTCAATGAAGCAGAAGTAGATGTCTTTCTGGAACTCTCTAGCTTTCTCCATAATCCAGTGCATGTTTGCAATTTGGTCTCTGGTTCCTCTGCCTCTTCTAAATCCAGCTTGCACTTCTGGGAGTTCTTGGTCCACATACTGCTTGAGCCTACCTTGTAGAATTTTAAGCATAACCTTGCTAGCGTGTGCAATGAGTGCAATTGTGCGGTAGTTGGAGCATTCTTTGGCACTGCCCTTCTTTGGGATTGGGATGTAGACTGATCTTCTCAATCCTCTGGCCACTGGCCACGGCAAGGCAGTGATCCCCCTTCATGGATCACTGCCTTGCCGTGGCGAAGAGGCTTGAATAACTCACAGAAGCTATGAACTATGCCGAGCAGGGCACCCAAGATGGACAGGTCATAGTGGAGAGTTTTGACCAAACGTGATCCTGGAGCAGGAACCGGCAAACCACTCCAGTATCCCTGCCAAGAAAACTCCATGGACAAAGACAACAGGCATTTACTGCTACTAATTGTTATCTTATTTTTATAATTTTATACCTTAATACTCTTATTTTCTTATCAGTTTTATACCAAATTTTCCTTCATGATTACATCTTACAGTCAATTTCATTCCATGTTGTCCTTACTTAACCTTTGATCTTTTCTTACTTGTAAGTGTTTAATCAAACACTGCTAGTGAGTCCGTATCTTTACAGTATTTCTGTAAATACAACACAAAAGGTTCCCAGTCTTTTTAAAATTCTGCATTATCATTGTCTCTTATTCTTTCCATTAGTTTCGCCATTTCTGCATATTCCATAAGGTTGACTTGCCATTCTTCTTTCATTGGTATCTTGTCGTCCTTCCATTTTTGGGCTAGTAGTATCCAAGCCGCCGTTGTAGCATACATAAACAACTTCTTCTGCTTTTTTGGTAGTTCCTGTCCTATTATACCCAACAGAAAAGCTTCTGGTTTTTTAACAAAGCTTATTTTAAACATCTTCTTCAGTTCATTATGTATCATTTGTGTCAGGGAACTGCCATCAGTGCCGGAGGGAGAGAGCAAAACCCAGAGGGATTCCAGAGAGCGTCCAGGGATCGGGAGAAGCAGCCCATCTTCTGGGGAAGAGAATCAGCGTAGCACCAGTGGAGAAGGGGGGGCAGATGGGGAAGTGGCGGCGGTCCCATGACTCCTTGCCTGGGACCAGCGGGGAGAGTAGGGGTCCTCCGTTGCCCACGCCCTCCCTGCGCAGAAGGCTTTGCGCAGAGAGAGTAGGAGGAGACTAGGCGTCAAAGAGCTTCTTTGCTGGAAGAAGTTTAAGAAACGCCCACTGACGGATTCTGCCAGCGATTGAGTCAGCCACGGGTGAGTGGCTGTCCGGACAGAAAAGGTTCACTTTGGCAACCCAGCCAGGTGTTTGCATCCAGCTGGGGAGATAAGCACCGGCTTACGCACGAGCAACCCCTAGAGTCATTACAGCAATCCGTCAGTCCCTGACGTTGCTTGTGCGCAGCCCCGGGGAGGCAGCACGATGAGCCAAACAGGGCCGGCTGGAGAGAAAGAGCAAGAAGCCATGGTGCGAGGTCTGGTCAAGAGGAACCGAGACCTGGAGGCACATGTCGCTACCCTGTCAGCGCGGCTGGAGGAGAGGTGGGCTCAGGATGCACAGGTCAGAGCCACCCCGATAGGGAGGAAGGTCCCGGGGCTGGTAAACAAGTTTGGTGGAAAGCCCCAAGACTACAATGCTTTCTGAACAGAAATTCAATACGCTTTGGAATTGCAGAAAAATGACTTTGCTGATGACGGGGAGAGGGTGGCTTACATTGTTGGACATCTGCAGGATGGGGCGCGCGAATGGATCAGGCCCTTAATGGCAACGGGGAATGATGCATTGAAAGATCTTAAGAAATTCTACTAGGCAATGGACGCGATGTTCTCCAGCGCGGTTGAGCAAAGCGTGACACGGAGGGAGCTGATGGGGTGCAAGCAGGGGAGCCTGTCCGTCAGAAACTACTGGTCGCGTTTTGCGATGTTAGTCCACAAGCTTGGGTGGGATCTGGACTCTGAACCAGTACAAATGCTGTTTGAGGCAGGTTTGGACCCCGAAGTGAAAGACAAGTCCAGAGCGCCCCGCCCGCGGTCGATGGATGAACTCACCAAGACTGTTCTTGCGATCGGTGTACGCCAGGAAGCGCGGGCTCAGGAGAAGCGGGAGATAAGGGCGGAATGTTTCCATGGCAACTGCATTCCTGAGATGCTGAGGGAGCCTTCCCAGGCGGCAGAATCGATGGAAATTGATGGAGCGCGCGCAAAGTTTCAAACACTAGTGAAGGCTGGAAAAGGAAGGGGAAGGAGTGGAAAACTACCAAGAAGTGTTTCCTCTGTCAGCGGCCAGGACATTTTGCAAAGGTCTGTCCTCAACGAAAGGCCTGGCAAGGCATGATGGGGGCTGCAGGCCATGACGAGAAGGGGGAGGAAGGGCCGGTGCAGGGAAACGAGAAAGCCTGGCTGCCAACCAGCAGGGGCAGCAGCCAGGCCAGCAACCAATAGAAGTGCCCCAGCCTGACCCTCCCAAGGCAGCTATAGCCATAGAAGTGGTGCTAGAACTCCCAAATGGGCACCCAGTCAAAGTGGAGGGGCTGCTGGATTCTGGCAGCTCGTGTAATTTCTTCAGCAGAGACTTCACTCTGGAGACCAGCTCCACCTCTTGCCACTAGATTTTCCCTTGCAGGTGACCACCATCGATGGCAGGGAACTACTGGGAGGGGAAGTGACACACCAGACACTGCCAATGCAGATGAGTGTTTCCAGGCACACGGAAACCATTGCCTTTCACGTGGCCACGCTGGCAGGACCCCCAATAATAGTGGGAATGAGCTGGCTGGCAATACATGACCCAGTGGTGTCATGGCATCAGCGGTCGCTCACCTTTGGGTCAGCTTACTGCTTAGAACACTGTCTGGGAGGGAAGGAACCAATAATGACTGTGGCTGGGGTGGCCCTGGAGGAAAAAGGGCAGGTGCCACCACAATATGCTGATTTGAAGGAGGTCTTCAGCGAGAGGGAGGCAGACAGACTGCCCCCCCACAGGCCATTTGACTGCCAAATCAACCTGCTTCCAGGGGCTCAGTTACCGGTGGGTAAGCTGTATGCCATGTCCGACCGGGAGATGCAGGAGTTGAGGCAGTTTATTGACAAGAACCTGAAGAGAGGTTTCATAAGGGAATCAAAGGCGGGGGGGGGGGGGGAGTCCAGTGTTCTTTGTGGACAAAAAAGAGACTAACCAGCCCAGATTAGTCGTGGATTACAGGGCCGTAAACCTGGTGTCAGAACCCGTGACTTTCCCAATGCCCAGGATTGACGATATTTTGACACGTGTGAGGCAGGGGAAGATTTTTACCAAGCTGGACCTCAGGGGAACATACAATCTGATTAGGATAAGGGAGGGGGACGAATGGAAAATGACCATGTTCACCCCCCGGGGGCTTTTGAGTACTTTGTTATGCCATTTGGATTACAATCGGGGTCTGCCTGCTTTCAAGCCTTCATGCACCATGTGTTGGGGCCCCTGCTGTACAAGAATTGCGAAGCCTTTTTGGATGACGTCTTAATCTATTCGGACAATGAATTGCAACACGTCAGAGACGTCAGGGAGGTGCTACAGAGATTGAAGAAGCATCAGTTGTGGGTCAAGCTGGAAAAATGCCAATTCCACCCCAGGGAGGTCGAGTTCCTGGGGTACAGGTTGTCAGACAAAGGACTGGCCATGGATCCAGGCAAGGTGAAGGCAGTGCTGGAATGGAAGGCCCCCCAAAACAGAAAGGATGTGCAGACTTCCGGGTTGGCGCCTCTGGCAATGGCGGATTTCCTCCAATCGGGAGGAATCCGCTCTGTGGAAAACAGGGTCTGAACCGCCACGGCGAGGCGGAGACCCATCAAAAACCACAGGCGGGAGATGCCTGTGGATGTGGGATTCGGCTGGCACCTTTGTGCCCCCCCCTACTCGCGGGGAAACCCGGTTTTCGGGGATCCGGAGCGACGTGGGGTGAGTGGCGCGGTGCTTTGAATCGACTGCTTCTTTCACGGAGTGAAGCCGCATTGCTGTTGCCGGAGAGCGCTGGCTTTTTCCTGTGGACAATTGGATTTTAAACAACTGCCCGTGAGTAGAACGGAAAATTGGATTAAGAAATTTTTTAATTTGGCACTGAAACGGGAAGGTCTAAACAGGAAGTCCGCCTTCCGCTTTTTGTAGATAGGTTGAAGCAAAGACACGGCAAGCTAAAGTTTAGAAAGTCGTCTGTAAAGGACCAAAATTTCATCATTTAAAATTATTGAACCCCCCTTGGAAGCAGGAGAAGAGGGGGAAACCTTTTTTAGACTGTTTAAACCTGCAGAAGAGAGAGTAAAGAAAGGCAATTTTCCACCGTCTTGAACCTGGGAGCGGGGTGTCAGGACAGACGTTCTGGGGAAGTTCATTGATTATGGACAAACGTTTTTGACAGATAGTTAAAAAAGAGAAACATATTGACTCCATTGTTCCCCTTCGCATGTAAAAGGAACAAAATTTTGACAAAATATCCGAAAAAGGAAAACTTTGTTGCTAGATCTTTTTTTTTTTTTTTTTAAAAAAAGGATGGATACAAAAAGAAATTGTTTCCCCTAGAGGGAGCTTGTGAAACTGTTATTAAAACCAAACTGGGGAGCTTTGCAGCTGTAAAAGATTAAGATCGTGGGACCAGACTTCGACCTTGAACAAGAATGTACTCGGAGGCTCTGGTGCTTGCCTTTTGCAAGACAAGTGCTTTATTGGAACAGTTACATGAGAAGATGGATTTGATGACTGTTGCGATCGGAAATTTTAGACAGACAGTGGGTACCTATATAGAACCCACTCAGGAATTAATCCAGGAATGTGCTTTGACAGATGAGATGAAGGAGGAGGCTGTTGCTGGACCCCGGGTGGCAGAGATGGAGGGAGCTGTGGCCCAGCAGGAACATGAGTTGTTGGATTTGACGAATGAACCTGGAAAAGTCAGATTTGGAGAGAAGGAGTTCTGTTTGGCTTGGAGATGGGGGGCTGGATGGACCCCCCTATGCAGGGATGTTTTGATTTTTCAAGTCTGGCTTTGGGCTGGGGGGAGCTCGGAGTTGTGGGGGCCCTTAACTTTGGAGGGGCCTTGAAACATGCCTTCAAACACCACGTGGATTTCGGTGTTGACTATGGAAAAGGGTCTGACTTGTCGAGAAGGGCCAAAAATATAGTCAAGCTGGAGTCTCCCCGAGTGAAAGGAGCAGAAGACAAAGTAAAGTACAGGTATAAATATGAAGAAGACCTGCGGAAGGGACATGGAAGAGACTTAAGAGCCTCGGACATAAGGTCACCAGGTTGATGGACTGGATGGATGGGATAGAAAGGACTGACAAAACCCGAGACCAGGAAGAAGAGACAATGGATGAAGATTGGAAGAAAGTTTTAAAAATTCATTTAGAAAAGTATTGTAAAATTAATGAGTATTAGAAAAATGTTGGAATGAAATTATTGGGCTTTAGCAGAAATGTTAAAAGAATTATGTAAGAATATGTAATGGTTAAGAGAATTTGGTATAAATAAGATTTAAGTTTTAAGTTTTAGGACTTTTTATGGTAAGATAAGGTTAAAATAGATTAAGGTAATTTAATGACAGAATATTGTGAAAGATGGAAAGGATTTGCTGAGATAATTAATAACTAGAATACAAAAAAGGGAGGTGTGAGGAGGTCGATGAAATAAGGTAATGACAGTTAAGGATTTGGGAATATTGGATTTGTTTTTAAAGTTTTTGTTTATTTTTGCTTTTTGATTTTGATGTATTGTGTGTTTTGTTTTTTGTTTTTGACTTTGGTTTTTATTGATTTGTATTGTTTAATTGTTACTTTTATCTACTTTTTTCTTTCCTTTTTTTTCCTCTTGGTTTTTCCTTCTGATTTCTTTGTAACCTTAAAATTCTCAATAAATATCATTTTAAAAAAAAACAACAGAAAGGATGTTCAGAGGTTCCTAGGCTTCAGCAACTTCTACAGGAAGTTCATAAAGAACTTCGCTCACTTGACAGCGCCCATAATGGATTGTCTTAGTTGCATAAAGAAGTTCGCATGGACAGAGGATGCGCAGCAATCCTTTGAAAAACTGAAGAAGGCGTTCGCCGCGGAAGAGCAGCTCCTGCACGTGGATCCGGAGAAGCCCATGAGACTGGAGACGGACGCGTCCGACTGCGCGATTGGAGCGGTACTTTTGCAACCCGGGTCCAAGGAGAACTGGAGACAGTGTGCCTTTTTCTCTAGGAAGCTGAGCAAGTCGGAGCAAAACTACACGGTGTATGACCGATAACTGCTTGCGATCTATGCGGCATTTCGGCAATGGAGACATCTTTTGATAGGGGCGCAGCACAAGATCCAGGTCCGAACTGACCACAAGAACTTGGAATACTGGCGGACCGCGCGAGTGCTCAACCAGAGACAGATCAGATGGTCTCAGGAGTTCGCCAAGTTTTTCTTCGAGATACGATATGTGCCGGGAGGGGAAAACGTGAGGGCAGATGCTCTCTCTCAGAAACCGGAGTACATGGAAGGAGAGAGGCCACCAGAGACCAGGAACGTGTTCCCCGAGGACCGGTGGGTGTGTGGAGGAGCGTTGGTAGGGAAATGAGAACTAGCAGGGCTCTCCAGAGACGATGAGTTTGCTCAGACGAAAATCAGGGAGCTCAGGGACGGAAAGTAAGACAATGGAGGGTTTGAGGAAAAGGAAGGGCTACTGTACTACAAGGGGGCGCTGTATGTATCAGGAGAGACTTTGAGGGGGAAGGTACTTAGACAGCTCCATGACAACCCAACAGCTGGGCACTTTGGACAGCACAAGACCATGCTACTTGTCACCAGGCAGTTCTGGTGGCCAAAGGTGAGGGAAGACGTAAGAGAATATGTACGAGGGTGCGACCGATGCCAGAGGGCAAAGGGGGAAAGGGCCGCCCCCGCGGGGCTACTGGAACCCTTGCCTACACTGGAAAGGCCCTGGGAGGTGGTGTCCATTGATTTTATGACAGATCTGCCCAAGTCAAGGGGAAAAACAGCGGTCATGGTAGTGGTCGATCTACTGACTAAAATGTGCCATTTCGTAGCTTGCTCGCATGCAGTATCGGCAGAGGAGACAGCCAGGCTGTTTGTGGATCACATTTTTAGACTGCATGGGGCCCCACTGAGGATAATCTCGGATCGCGGGAAACAATTTACCTCCCGGTTCTGGCGGAGTCTCATGAGCTTGCTACAGGTCGAGGTGAGCTTCTCGACGGCGAGGCACCCAGAAACCAATGGACAGGCCGAAAGAGCGAACGGCATACTCCAGCAGTACCTGTGCTGCTATGTCAGCGAGAGGCAGAACGATTGGGTAGAGAAACTAGCTTTGGCTGAATTTGCGTACAATAACGCTGAACACGTGTCCACGGGAATGAGCCCTTTCATGGCCAATTACAAGTGTCACCCTAGGGCCTTCCCGGGGCGGGGGGAGGAAGGATGGAGTGTACCGGCGGCTGAGCAATTTGTGGAGGAAATGGAGGCCTTACACCAGCAACTCAGGCTGAACTTGGAGCGGGCCAAGGAAGTTTACAAGAGGCAGGCAGACAGGCACCGTCGGGAGGGGGGGAGGCCATACGGGTGGGAGACCGGGTGTGGTTGTCATCCCAAGGGTTGCCCCTAACGGGGGGGTGCCCGACGTTGCAGCCTAGGCGGCTGGGGCCGTTTGAGGTAATACAGCAGGTTAACCCAGTGGCATTTAAACTCAAGTTGCCTGACAGCATGAAGATACATCCGGTGTTCCATAGGTCCCTACTTTCACATTACAGGGAGAGGCGGGAATTCCCAGGACGGGAGGGAGGGGTTACCACCCACCCGCGGGTAGAGGAGAGGGAACACTGTAACGAAGCTACGGAAATACTCGATTCGAGGTGGCAAGGTCGCCAGGTAGAGTACTTGGTAGCCTGGGAGGGGGAACCTAGGTCTGAAAACACTTGGGTCCCTGCAGAATCAATCACTGACGCGTATCTGGTGGAAGAGTTTCATGGTTTGTTCCCGGGTAAGCCCAAACCATTTGCTAGATTCTGGGAGGAACAATTTGGACCCACAGACGACGAAAGGGACTTTGTAGGTTTTCCTGCCTCCGAAGAGGAGGGAGGGGAGGTGTCCGAGGGAGCATAAGGTCAAACAGATTCCTCACTGGCCTTGCAGACAACTTCATTGTCCAGAAAGTGGGAGAAGCAACAAGAGGAACAGCCATTTTAGATCTGGTCCTAACCAATGTTGATGACTTGGTTAGTGGGGTAGAAGTGGAAGGATCATTAGGCGCGAGTGATCATGCTCTTCTGAAGTTTACTATACAGTGGAAAGGAGCAGCCAAGCATACTAGGACTCAATTTCTTGACTTTAAGAAAGCCGACTTCATAAGACTTAGGGAAGTGCTGGGTGAGTTCCCATGGACAGTAATACTAAAAGGAAAGGGAGTTCATGATGGCTGGGAGTTTGTTAAGAGGGAGATACTAAAAGCACAACGTCAGGCAATACCAATGAGACAGAAACATGGAAGGTGCCTAAAGAAGCCATGGTGGCTAGCTAAAGAACTTTTAACTGAGTTAAGATTAAAAAGGATGTGTACAAAAAATGGAAAGGGGAAACCACCAAGAGGAATTCAAACAAATAGCCAGCACGTGCAGACACAAAGTTAGAAAAGCTAAAGCACAGAATGAACTCAGGCTTGCTAGAGAGGTTAAAAGCAACAAAAAAGGCTTTTATGGGTATGTCCGTAGCAAAAGGAAGAACAAAGAAACAGTGGGGTCACTCAGAGGAGAAGATGGTGAAATGCAAACAGGGGACACAGAAAGAGCTGAACTCCTCAATGCCTTCTTTGCCTCAGTCTTCTCCGATAAAGAAAACAATGCCCGACCTGAAGAATTTGGAGCAAATGATTCAGCAGAGGAAACACAGCCCAGAATAACTAAGGAGATAGTACAAGAATACTTGGCTAGTTTAGATGTATTCAAGTCTCCAGGGCCAGATGAACTGCATCCAAGAGTATTAAAAGAACTGGCAGATGTGATCTCAGAACCACTGGCAGTCATCTTTGAGAATTCCTGGAGAACAGGCGAAGTCCCGGCAGACTGGAGGAGGGCAAATGTTGTCCCTATTTTCAAAAAGGGGAAAAGAGAGGACCCAAATAATTACCGCCCAGTCAGTCTGACATCAATACCAGGGAAGATTCTGGAGCAGATCATTAAGCAAACAGTCTGTGAGCACCTAGAAAGGAATGCTGTGATCACCAATAGTCAGCATGGATTTCTGAAAAGAAGTCATGTCAGACTAACCTGATCTCGTTTTTGACAGAATTACAAGCCTGGTAGATGAAGGGAACGCAGTGGATGCTAGCCTACCTTGATTTCAGCAAGGCATTTGACAAGGTGCCTCATGATATTCTTGTAAAGAAGCTGGTAAAATGTGGTCTTGACTATGCTACCACTCAGTGGATTTGTAACTGGCTGACTGACCGAACCCAAAGGGTGCTCATCAATGGTTCCTCTTCATCCTGGAGAAGAGTGACTAGTGGGGTGCCACAGGGTTCTGTCTTGGGCCCAGTCTTATTCAACATCTTTATCAACGACTTGGATGATGGACTCAAGGGCATCCTGATCAAATTTGCAGATGACACCAAATTGGGAGGGTGGCTAACACCCCAGAGGACAGGATCACACTTCAAAACGACCTTGACAGATTAGAGAACTGGGCCAAAACAAACAAGATGAATTTTAACAGGGAGAAATGTAAAGTATTGCACTTGGGCAAAAAAATGAGAGGCACAAATACAAGATGGGGACACCTGGCTTGAGAGCAGTACATGTGAAAAGGATCTAGGAGTCTTGGTTGACCACAAACTTGACATGAGCCAACAGTGTGACGCGGCAGCTAAAAAAGCCAATGCAATTCTGGGCTGCATCAATAGGAGTATAGCATCTAGATCAAGGAAGTAATAGTGCCACTGTATTCTGCTCTGGTCAGACCTCACCTGGAGTACTGTGTCCAGTTCTGGGCACCACAGTTCAAGAAGGACATTGACAAACTGGAACGTGTCCAGAGGAGGGCAACCAAAATGGTCAAAGGCCTGGAAACGATGCCTTATGAGGAACGGCTAAGAGAGCTGGGCATGTTTAGCCTGGAGAAGAGGAGGTTAAGGGGTGATATGATAGCCATGTTCAAATATATAAAAGGATGTCACATAGAGGAGGGAGAAAGGTTGTTTTCTGCTGCTCCAGAGAAGCGGACACGGAGCAATGGATCCAAACTACAAGAAAGAAGATTCCACCTAAACATTAGGAAGAACTTCCTGACAGTAAGAGCTGTTCGACAGTGGAATTTGCTGCCAAGGAGTGTGGTGGAGTCTCCTTCTTTGGAGGTCTTTAAGCAGAGGCTTGACAACCATATGTCAGGAGTGCTCTGATGGTGTTTCCTGCTTGGCAGGGGGTTGGACTCGATGGCCCTTGTGGTCTCTTCCAACTCTATGATTCTATGATTCTATGGAGAAGAATCAGACTGGGAGCTGGAAGAGATCCGAGCGGATGGGAGGCTGGTTTTGAATCCTCAGAAGATGATGACAGTTCTTTCAGGGGATTCCCCGCATCGTCTGTCGAGGAGAGAGAGGAGGATGTATCGGAAGATCGTGCCAGGGGTGGGGGTGGGGGTCCTGAGGAGGAGGTGGATGTCAGGGAACTGCCATCAGTGCCGGAGGGATAGAGCAAAAGCCAGAGGGATTCCAGAGAGCGTCCAGGGATCGGGAGAAGCAGCCCATCTTCTGGGGAAGAGAATCAGCGTAGTACCAGTGGAGAAGGGGGGCAGATGGGGGAAGCGGCGAGGCGGTCCCATGACTCCTTGCCTGGGACCAGCGGGGAGAGTAGGGGTCCTCCGCTGCCTACGCCCTCCTTGCGCAGAAGGCTTTCGCGCAGAGAGAGTAGGAGGAGACTAGGCGTCAAAGAGCTTCTTTGCTGGAAGAAGTTTAAGAAACGCCCACTGACGGATTCTGCCAGCGATTGAGACAGCCACAGGTGAGTGGCTGTCCGGACAGAAAAGGTTCACTTTGGCAACCCAGCCAGGTGTTTGCACCCAGCCGGGGAGATAAGCACCGGCTTACGCACGAGCAACCCCTAGAACCATTACAATTTGCCAATAACTTTTAATTACTTTACAATTCCACCACATGTGGTAAAGCGTACCTTCTTTCTCTTTACACTTCCAGCACTTATTAGCACTTGTTCTATACATTTTTGCCAGTTTGACAGGAGTTAAATACCATTGGTACATCATTTTCATATAATTCTCTTTCAAAGTTGTATATGCGGTGAATTTTAAATCAACTTTCCATAATTTTTCCCAGTCTTTCATTTGTAAGTTATATCCTACACCTTGTGCCCGTTTAATCATTACACATTTAACCTCTTCATCTTTGGTTTCCCATTTTAATAATAAATTATACATCTTCTTCAATAATTTGGTATTATCCTCTACAATTTCTCTTTGAAATCTAGATAAATTATAATTAAATCCTTTCTTTTTATCTTCTTTGAAGACCTCATTTACTTGAAAATATTGTAACCAGTCATTAACATGTTCTCTGATCTCTTCAAATTCTTTCATTTTTAATTTCCCTTCTGTTTCTATTAATAGATCTCTATTTGTAAGCCATTTCCCTCTCCTATTTATTTTTTTAATCGATGTTGCTTCCATTGGAGACAACCACCATGGAGTCTTCTGTTCTAATAAATCTTTGTACCTTTCCTTTGTACCTTTGTACTTTTAAGATCTGGAAGGGAAAAACCACCTCTATCTTTACTGTCTGTAAGTAATTTATGTTTTATTATTGGTTTTTCCCTTTCCAGATGAATTTTGTAATATCCATTTGTCATTTCTTGAAGCATGCTGCATTACCTATAACCGGTACTGACTGGAATAAAAATAACATTTTTGGCAATATGTTCATATTGATCACTTCATATTTATCACTTCCTAACAGTGATAAATTCATTCTTCCCCATACTTCTAGATTCCTTTTTATTTCATTCCATTTTTTTTTCATAATTATCTTTAAGCATGTTAATATTTTTGGTTGTCAACCAAACTCCTAAATATTTAACTTTTTTATGAACCTCTGTTTCTATATTTTGCTGTAATTCCCCCCCCCCTTTTTCTGGTACATTTTTCACTATCAGCTTTGTCTTATTTTTGTTCAACTTAAAACCTGCCAGCTGCCCAAAGTTCTGTATTTTTTCTAAGACTTTCAGCAGAGAGTTCTTAGGGTCCTCCACTGTTACTACAAGATCATCTGCATATGCTTTTAATTTATATGTTCCCCGTCCCCCACCATGATTCCTCTGGGTTTGTTTGTTTTTACCTACTTGGTCTCATGTAGCATAGTGGGTAAGGGACAGCTAAACATCTGGAAGTCTGCATTCAACTGTTGCCTCATTCATTAACTTGGTTGCCCTAAGTAAGCCTGCATTTTCTAACCTGCCAAACTGGTGCAGGGGAAATAGCATTGGCCAACCATCTACAGTCGTTGTAATGCTTACTGAGACAATGTGTGTGAATCACTGTGAATACCAGTTGCTGGGAATCACAAAAGGGGAGAGTGTGTAGTTCCTAGTTTAGCGTTGTCTTAGAATGCTGGGATCAGGGGTTTATTATGTATCTCTGTATTTATTTTCCTTTACTTATATCCTAACCTTCCCAACAGGAGCATGGCTGGGCGATGCAGTTTACAAATACAGCACAACAATAAATAACATTAACAACACATAAAGTAGTGGCATTGGCAAGAAGGTATATTACATTCCAAAGGCTTGAGTAAACCATAAAGGTTTTCACATTGTGACACATCCCATTTGCAAGGGAGTTCTATATTCTATGAGGGTGCCATTCAGAATGTCTTGCATTAACAGTGCCTGCCCGGTAGGGCTGGGCGATATATCAGAGCATTGCCCCAAACTGGTTTGAAGTCCCGATCATGATAACAGTTTCAGAATTTTTCACCTGGCAATATATCATGAATCCTTGCTCACTCCTTGACTGCCACCAGCACTGCACATTTCACTCTCGAGTGACACTTGCAAGTCTGTCTGATGTTCACCCACAGTGAGAGGCCCAATTCCTCCCTCTGCAGCCCAGCTGCCAGCCTTGGCAGAGGGAACTTGAGAAGGTGCTTGCCTGCCTGTCTGCACCTTCACCCAAGCAAGTGGGCTGCCTCATCCCTCCCTCCAGATTAGAACACTAGGGCTGGGCAATGTATCATCCAAAACCAGTTTGAAGTATATATCCAGGAGTCAACATGTGGCTGCTTCTTCCTTCCTACCTTATTTGCTCCTTTCTTCTTATTTCAGACATTGGTATATTGCGATGTTGAAAACCAGATATCGCCCAGCTCTACTGCCCAGCAGGTTGAAATAACAAGCAGGGCATCCCCAGCTGATCTTAACAGACGAATAGGGCAGTATTGGATTAGTTCAGGCCTCTAACTACCTTTTAAATAATTTATTGTTTTTCCCCCTTCCCTGGTGCTCCTCTTCATTTTTTTTAAGTTGAGAATGTCCAGAGTCTCTTCGTTCCCACCAAGTTCTTTGTGCATCACTTGGCACTTAGCTGTGATAACCTCACACTCTCTGTCTGCATGGCCTCCAGTGAAGCTGGGTCCTTCATTGGCTTTTTTGATGTTCGCACCTTTGTGAATCAGGTAAGTTGAATGGTTTAAAAACAAACTTGGAACCCCCCACAACCCTCACTCCAGGGTGTGCTTTGCTATGAGTTTTGAAACTGGAGAGCTTTAGCAAGCCCTAATGAAGCATAACCACACTTAAGGATTCAGATGTAATGCTATACCATGGTTAATTAAAAATTGGGAGGAACACTACCACAGTGTAGTATTCATGTGCGATAGTAAACTGCGGTTAATCAAAAAGGGAGCAGAAGACTCCAGTCTCTTCCTTGTGGCTGTGCCGGCAGGGGGGATGAAGTGTGTGAGGCTGAGGTTCGCTGTGACTCGTATCCTCTCTATCTGCCCCTCAAAGCTCTCCCCAGGCCACACTCCTCACCAGCCTTGCTCAGCATTCTCCTTGAGTGCTTTTTACTGGCTGGAAGTTGTCCATGAACTGTGATAATGACTCTTGCTTGCATGGCTGAAGATACAGGGGGCAGCACATGTAAAAGGCTCTGACTTTTGCATGGCTGGAATGTAGCCCACTGTATATATCCATTACTCTGTGCGCGTTTCCCTCAAGCCATGCCCACTACTGATACGTGCCCCCTGGAATGTTGTCCATAATGGAATGTGGCCCCTGTATAAAAAGGTCCTCCAGTCCTACAATAATCTGTAGCTCATCATTACTTCTGAACTCTACCACTGATAGGAGCTTAGGCTAGTGAAAACATCTCTTTCCTTCCGGTCTTGGAGAGTATGGTATAGAGTATGTATTTTAGTGTTTTGTTGGGCACGGTATAAATAATAAATTATTATTATTATTATTATTATTATTATTATACTGAGCTTGGTGGGCCAGTGATTTGACTCTACTGAAGGCAGGTGTCTTTGCTCATATGGATACGATCTAACAAACGTCCATTTCCTTCTAATAGGCTAAGCAGCAAAAACGCCCCTTTGCCTATCAGAAGATGGCTGGGGCGATGGTCATTGACCTGAAATGGAACCCAGTGAATGCCTCCATGCTGGCCGTCTGTCTGTCTGATGGAAGCCTCTCTGTCCTGCAGGTGGCAGATTCCATGAAGATCTATGCAACTCTCCCTGCTTCAGTGGCTGTTACATCAGGTTAGTAGCATGACTTTTAGACTGATGCAAAAATCCCTGTTATAAATCAGCTGAATTGGAGTTCCGATTTACATATATTTTAGAGGTACAGCTCAAAGTAAGCCTGATTGCACCATATGGACTATTGCAAACAAGGGTATCTCATAAGGAACCTTTGGCCCTCCCAATGTTGCTGAACTCCAACTACCACCCACCCCTGGCCATTGGCTGTGCTTGCTAGGCTGATGGGAGCTGCTGTTCAGCAGCATCTAGAGGGCCAACATTTCCCCTCTCCTACTCTAGGGTATGCTCTCCTGAGACCATCGTTGGCTGCACCTTCATGTTGAATGGACATTCTATTGCATTCCAAATTTGAGATTGTCGTGTTTGAATAACACTTGTGAGGGCAATTTAAGCCATTTGCCAAATTGCACTGGTTGGTTTTGTTGTTGCTATTTCCTTTGCAACTGCTTAATGATGCCTGCTTGCTTTTCTCTCCCCCCCCCCCCCCCCTTTAGTGTGTTGGAGTCCTAAAGGAAAGCAGCTGGCTGTAGGCAAGCAGAATGGCACAGTGGTCCAGTATCTGCCTGTAAGTCTGTTTTGTTCTATTTGGCCTATAATGATCTGCCTCCTCCTGCTTCTCCCTCTTGGTTCTTTCCTGTTTTGTTCTCCCAATTCACAGTTCAGAAGATGGAGTCTTAAGCATAAGGGTAGCAGAAGTACATGTCTGGGAATGGCTGTAGTCTAGAGCTTGAGCATCCATTTTGCATGCACTAGTCCCCAGGTTCAGTCACCGGCACTGTCAGGTAGAATGAGAATTTTGATTTTGTATAATAAACTAGTATGTTCATGTCTTCACACTCCTCTCTATTCACCATCCAGGCAATCAAGAAGTTTAGGAGCACAAGGCTGCATATGCACCATACATTTAAAACACATGATTTCTTCCCCCCTTCCCCAAGGAATCATGGGAACTGTGGTTCTGTTGGGGTAAACTATGGTTCTAAGGATTCTTAGCGATAAGCCATGTGCTATGAATGCATGGCTGTGCACCTAGCCAGGCAAAAACACAAAGGGGGAAAGAGGGCTAGTAAGGGGTGTGGCTTGAGGTGAACCCTGAGGACAAAATAGAGGCTTGGAGGACTGCATTTGATCCCTGGGCCTAAGATTAATCAATTTTCTTTCATTTTATTTGTTTGCTGCTCTTCTACAAAAAAATCATGCTCAAAGCAGCTTACAACAAAGAAACAGGAATGCATTTCGAACGAACACTACTAAAACCTTCATAATAACACAGCACAACGAAAATATATCATACCAAAACCCCACATTTCAGTACTATAAATATAACAAGATTACTTAAGCACCATGCAGCATGCAATAGCAAAAACAAGGAAGCATCATAGTTTCACCTTAGTCCTAGAAGCACCACTCCTATGATGTTGCTTACAGTCCCTCTCCTGTAGCAGCAGCTTATAAGGCTTCCAAGGGCAAAGGATGGGATTGCTGGAAACACCTCTCCCATGATGATGTTCATCTCTGATATAAGTGAGTTGGGCCCATGCCCATAATTAAGCGGGAGGTTAAGAGTGCCCACATTTGACTGCCAACAATCTCTCCTTAGAGGGAACTTTGGCTACAAAATGCCTGTGCCTGAAATCTTGGAGCATTGTTCCCATTGAGAGCAGATTAGGGATAGGGAACTCATAGCCCTCCAGCTGTTGTTGTATTCCATGGGTAGGCAAACTAAGGCCCGGGGGCCGGATCTGGCCCAATCGCCTTCTCAATCCAGCCTGCGGACGGTTCGGGGATCAGCATGTTTTTACATGAGTAGAATGTGTGCTTTTATTTAAAATGCATCTCTGGGTTATTTCTGGGGCATAGGAATTTGTTCATTTCCCCCAAAAAAATATAGTCTGGCCCCCCACAAGGTCTGAGGGACAGTGGACCGGCCCCTTGCTGAAAAGGTTTGCTGACCCCTGTTGTATTCCATCTCCCATCAGCTCCATCTAGCATGGCCAATGGTCAGGGGATACTGGGAGTTGTAGTCCAAGAACATCTGGAGGGCTTCAGGTTCATCACCCACAGAGCAGACAGTACTCAGTGAAATGTACCATGTCATCAGATCACTGAACCATGGTAGCTTCAGATGAAACACTTTGGACATTTTTTTTTAAAGTTCTTGTGTAAATTCAGAGTGTTTGTGTTTTATTATTGCATGTGTGATATGAAGTGTTGCATTGTAGATAGAATACTTTGAAGAAACAAACCCCCCATATGATTAAACTTAGGGTATTCTAATCACTCTCATTCTTCTATTTTTTCAGAACCTGCAGGAGAAGAAAACAATTCCCTGTCCTCCATTCTATGATTCAGATAATCCTGTCAAAGGTACTGTGTTTCCTAAAATTTGGCGTTTTGACCGGTTGGTATTACAGTAGTACAGATGGATCATGTAATCACAGTGTTTCACTTACGTGCCTAGAATTTGCCCATCCATGAAATCCAGGCATATTGTGGAATGTGAGATGCTTGTTTTTGACTAGTCGTTGAAAAATAAATCTGGCAGGTGTTTTGCTCAAAATACTAAGTAGTATTTTATACCAATCCCATTTACAGTATGGATTAATATTTAATCTCCTGTAATTTAGTTGTCAGGGTTGTTAATGCAGCACAGTTACATAATTATAGTGCAAAGATTTGATAATGCCTTCCTTTCTTTTGAAAAAAAGTGCAGTCCTTGGGCATATTATCACATCTGTTATGTTAAATTTTTAATTCGTATATTTGTAATTGAAACTTGAAGCTCTTTATATGTCATGTTCCCTAAGATTAATACAGCAACAAAACTGTTGTACTCACAGCAGCCCCTTTGAAATTGATGGAGATGACTAAATTAGGCAGATTAACTTCAGTGTGTCTACTTGAGAAGAACTTTGCTGGATGCAGCCCTCTGTAGGGAAGGTTTCCAGTGTCCTAGATCCTTCTGTCTTCACGCAGTACACAGTGTTAAGGAACACATAAAGGAACTAACCAGCTGCATTATACCAAGTCAGACTGTTAATCCACAAAGTTTAGTATTGCTTACTCTAACTGGCAGCAACTGTCTGGGATTTCAGGCTGGGGTGCCTCCCAGCCATACCTGGAAATGCTGGGGATTCAACCTGGGGCTTTCTGCATGCAAAGCAGGTGCTGTACCACCAAGATATCCCTCTTTGTCCCTCTTTGTATATAGCTCATTGGATGGACATATGCTTTTGACTCCAGAAATCCCATGTTCATCTCCAGGTGGGGCTGGGAGAGACTGAAATCCTGGAGTGCTGCTGCCAATTATTGTAGGCAGCACTCAGTTACCTGGATCAATGATCTGACATGATATTGGGAAGCTTCCTAGCATGAGGGGAAAGCAGCATAACTCAGTGGAAGGGCATCTGCTTTGCATGCAGATGGTCCCAAGCTCAGTCCCCCAGTATCTCCAGGTGGGGCTGTGAATGTCTCCTGGCTGAAATCCTGGAAAATCCCTGCCAGACAATATTGAGCTATATGGACCAGTGATCTGACTTGACATAAGGCAGCTTCCAGTGGGATGCATCCAACTGACTTCTACACAGGTTCATTTATTTCAGTGGGCCTACTCTGAGTAGGACCACGCTTGCATACAACCCTATGTTCCTGTGTAAGTAATAATAATAATAATAATAATAATAAGTGGCTCTTGAGAAAAACAAAAGCAAAAAACCCGACAACCCAAGTTTACCCACATTTCTGTTTTCCAGTCTTGGACGTGTTGTGGGTCAGCACTTACATCTTCACTATCGTATATGCGGCTGCGGATGGGATCTTGGAAACTGCACCAGAAGTGGTGATGGCTGTGCTTCCTGTATGTGAAGAGAGGAAGCGCTGGGGAAGCAACTTCTATTTCTCTTGTGTTTGCTTTCTAAGTCTGTGCTGGCTACTGTCATTCTCACAATTTTGCTAGGTCTTTGCCCCTGGTTTGTGCTGCTGTGTCTTCCTGCATTTTAGGCTCTGGCTTCGGAATGATAAAAAAAGTAGATGTAGAATCCCACTTCATAGAAACCATTTAGTCAAACCTTGCATGGAAATTGAAGCATTCACCAACCACAGCAGCCTCCACACTGCTGCTGCGAGTGTCAGTTTTGCTTGCCAAGTCCCCATACAAACATGTGTTAAATGCCTACCTCTTAGATGCACAGGTTTAACTTGTGTGTTTGGAACTTTCTTTCTGCCTGAGGGCCACGTTCTGTCCTGAGCAGCTTTCCAGGGACCACATGCCAGTGGTGAGCAGCAGGGTTGCAGGCAAAAGCGAGCAGAGCAATGGATGTACATTTTGCCTCCGGATAGTAGCCTAGTTTCTACGGACACTCATAATAGTCCTTGCTGTCCTCCAGTCAGACAATCAAGAGGCATTATCAGAATTCCAGGATGCATCCCAGCCAGGCAAAACGGTTTAGGAGTGCGTATCATTTTGTGGTTATTGAAACATTTCATCATACTTTTGGCCAGAGGTGTGGGACCCTTGACCTTCCACACACTGTAGGGACTCCAACTTCCATCAGCCCCAGCCAGCATGGCCTGTGTTCAGGAATGATGGCAGTTTGTTTTATATAATAATGCATTCTTTATATCCTGCTTTTTCTCTACACTGTAGCTCAAGGCGGATTTCAGAAATTAAAGCGAAACAGATAAAATACAGAAAGCTAAAATATACAGAAGATAATAGTTTAAAAAGAATTAAACTGTAATAGAATTAAAACTATATAAACACAAATTATGAAAATATTGATAGCAAAAAATAGCAAAGCACTATTCAAATCACTTTCCTTAAAAGCAGTCAGTTCCCCAAAGCGCATGGGAACAAGGCAGCCTTCACGTGCCAGGGGAGAACAGCAAGGAAGGAGCCAGTCTAGCTTCTCTAGGAAGGAAGCCACAAAATCTGGGAGCAGGCTATCATGAAGGCCCCCTCCTTGTAATTATGAAACTGTTGCAACCATAAAACAGTTATGTATGTTATAAATGATGCAAACATTTTAAAACAGTCCAGCGTCTGCAGGGTCATTTGTTAGCTGCCCCTCCCCTAAGGCGCTTTTTCTCATATGTTGCATCTCCCATTTTACACACTATTTCCCATTCTGTCTCCCCATTCAGAAAAAGGAAGACAAGTGGCCTGAGCTGTTTGTGAATTTTATGGAGCCTTGTTATGGCAGCTGTTCTGAGAGGCTACATCACTACTTCCTTAACTACGTTGAAGAATGGTGAGTAATGGCGATCATACAACACTGAATAGTTCCCTTTTAACATTAATTAGGTGAGCAAAGGGCTGGGTGTATTTAAAGATTGTTATTTGAAACTAACAGGGCAATGTGTTTATGCTGCTTGAAGTGGGTTATGGATTTGTGGTTGTTGTTTCCTTCCTCAAGGGATGTGGTCCTTGCAGCATCTGCTGCTTCCACAGAGGTCAGCATCCTCGCAAGGCAAGGAGACAAGGTAATCCCATTTCCTATTTCCCCAGCAAGTGCCTCTTATAAGAAGATCAGAGGTCCCAGTGAGAGTTCCAGAGGGGTAGTTATTATTAGTCAGCTGCAGCAAGAAATAGCAAATTCTCATGTCACCTTGAACCCCCCCCCCCATGCACTTACTGGGACAGAATATTTTATTTATTATCGTTTATTATTATTATTATTTATTTATTGCACTTATACCCTACCTTTTTTCCTCCAAGGAGCTCAAGGTGGTGTACATGGTTCTCCTCCTCATTTAATCCCCACAACAACCCTGTGAGGTAGTTTAGGCTGAGAGGCAGGGACTGGCCCAGTGAACTTGATCAATTTGAACCCTGAGCTCCAAGCTCCAAGCCCGACCTGCTAACAGTTACATTATTCAGGCTCTTGCTTTTGTGGACCGTGGACTCACCCCTGCCAATGATGGTGGACCAGATATACCCTTTTGACTTTAAGGCATCTTTTGAAGACCTTTTTATGCCAACAAGCCCATGCAACTGCCTAAACATTTTTTATTATCCAGTCATTTAAATGTTTGTTTCATAATGTTTCACTTGTACATATTGTTGTGTACAGTGGTACCTCGGGTTAAGTACTTAATTCGTTCCGGAGGTCCGTTCTTAACCTGAAACTGTTCTTAACCTGAAGCACCACTTTAGCTAATGGGGCCTCCTGCTGCTGCCGCACCGCCAGAGCACAATTTCTGTTCTTATCCTGAAGCAAAGTTCTTAACCTGAAGCACTATTTCTGGGTTAGCGGAGTCTGTAACCTGAAGCGTATGTAACCTGAGGTACCACTGTGCTGCCTCAATACTTTATATGAGTTGGTTGTACACAAAAATCTTTATAAATGAACCAAGGAATAATAGTAATTCTCCTCTCCACTGCATGTGCCACAGTGATTTTATAAAGTGAAAAAAAGCCCTTATTACTACAAGTTGACCTCCCTGGCTGGAACGATTCCAGAGGTTGCCAAAGCACAGAGCCATTTGGGAGCGGCCATAGCTCAGTAGCAGAGCATCTCTTTAGCAAGCATAAGGCCCCAGGTTCAGTTCCCAGCATTTCCAGGTAGCGTTGGGAGTTGCTGTTAGTCAGTGTAGACAATACTGTGCTAGATAGACCAAGATCCTGATTCCTAGTACTAATTAAACTAACCCTTCTTACAGAACAACTGGGAGCTGTGGGTTCTGGAAGACTCCAGCCGAGCAGAACTTCCGGTCACAGATAAGAGCGATGACACTTTGCCCGTAGGCGTGGCCATTGATTACACCAGCAACATGCCCATAACCATTAGTAAGTATATGAATGTTGCTCTTGGGTTAAGCATAAAGCAAACAACAGTGCTCTCTATAGCAGGTGTGGGGAACCTTTTGCCCTCCAGATGTTGCTGAACCATGTCTCCCATCAGCCCTAGCAAGCATGGCCAGGGATGCTGAGAGTTGTAGTTCAGCAACATCTGGAGGGCTAAAGCTTCTTCACGCCTGCTGTAGAGGGAGCTTTAGTGCTGGTCATTAGTCCTGAGAAGATGCTATTAATATACTTGGAAGTGCTATTTTCCCACCTTCTAACTGTGATTCTTGAGGCTATTCAGAGTGGGCAGACCTGCGACCTCGGGGCCAATTGTGACCCTCCAGGCCTCCATCTGGCCCATGGGACTCTCCCCAGCTGACACTGTTTTTTGCCTGGCTGGAATGTGTCCTGTATAAGTAAAAGAAAAAAAGGGTAGACTAGAAATGCATGGAACAGAGTTGTAATACATGTTGCATTATTCAAGAGAAGTCATCTTGGGCACTTAGTTCCCTTTGTAAAGTTTTAAACTCTTGCCATTCTAACATAACTTCCTGGTCCCTTCCCGGACTTGTTCTGAGGGCTGCTTACTAAGTGGAGGTACTGCTGAACATGTCTGGTCATGGTGTGTGTGTGTTTGTGGCATTTTTGCAGGTGAGGATAAAACCACGGACCCAGCACCGGTCCTGCTGCTGCTGTCAACTGATGGAGTCCTCTGCCCCTTTTACATGGTCAATCAAAACCCTGGTGTGAGGTCTCTGATGGTGATGCCGGAGCCTCTCTCTCCAGAAGGAGACAGAGGAACAAAATCAGCTGGTAGGTGCTTGCTTGCTTTTTGGGGGAGTTTTGGTCCAGCAACACCCGAGGATCCAAGGTTGTAGAACACTTATCCTAAAACACCTTGAATGCAAATGGAGCAGCCTGGTGCCCTCTAGGTGTTACAGAACTCCCAGCAGTCAGTGACCAAGAATAATGAGAGTCAGAATTCAACAATGTATGGGTGGCACCGTGCCAGAGAAGGCTGGTGTAGTGTGATAAGGAGGGCGTGGCAAGCAACATGCACAACTGGAGATCAAAAAGACATACCTGTGCCCCTTACCCTCCCTTTTCAATCTTTTGGTTTTGCTCATCAGCATTTCCACCTTGATAGATCTTTGTTTATGTGGTTAGGATTGCTCTGTAAGGCTGCAGTCTTGGGAACGCTTCACAGCGTTCCATAGGAGAGTAGGAAACAGACCTCATGCCAGGTTGGACCATCAGTATTATCTGCACTGACTGGCAGCATCTCTCCAGGTTTCAGGCAAGGGCCTCTCTCCGTCCCACCTAGAGAAGCTGGGTGTTGAAGCTGGGTCTTTCTGTGTGCAGTGCAGAGGCTACCAAACTGTCCCACTTTGCGTATATGATTGGTTGGACCTACGCTTTGGATGCAAGGAGTCCTGTGTTCAGTAGTTGGCATCTCCACATGGGGCTGGGAGAGACCCTGGTCTGGAAACCCGGGAAGCTGCTGCCTGTCAGTGTAGACAGCGCTCAGTTAGCTGGACCAACAATCTGACATGAAATAAGGAATCTTCCTAATAGGTGGGGGGGGGGAGCAGTGTAGTTCAGTGGTAGAGAAACCTGCTTTGCATGCAGAAGGTCTCAGGTGTGATCCCTGGCATCTCCAGGTAGGGCAGGGAATGTCTCCTGCCTGAACCCTGGAGAGCTACTGGAGATGTCAGGGATTGAACCTGGGACTTTCTGCATGCAACACAGGTTCTTTCCCACTGAGCTGCCAATATATGGTCAGTATATTGGTAGTAAATATTGAACTCAAAGGGCGAAGAGAACTATTTGTGTATTATCTGTTTTGGCCAGAGATGAAGGTTCACTGCAAAGCCCTGTTCACTTTTCATCTGTGTAATTGCATTTCCTGTTCAATATGGAACACCTTAGTTTTGGCAAAGGCTTTTCTTTCCAGCTCTACTTGGCTTGCTTGTCAGCAGGATGTTTGATTCAGGCTGACATGATCCTTGCCAAAAATCGATGGGGGATTGTAGAAGGCGTTGTGCTCTCAATTCCCAGCTCAATTAAAATCCAGCCGACCTGGGAAATTGTAGTATTGATTTAAGGGCCTGCCCTTTGGGCAGGGATCTTGGAGGTCCGATCTGTGAGTCTGAAAAGATCTGTTGTGCATTTTTATTAAATTACTGTGTATGCCTATCCTGCCATATCCTTAAACGGCAGAGCTAATATCAGTATTCTAAGCATGTATCTGTGCATATACACAAATCTTGTCTGGTCTTGATAGAGAGTTAAAATGTGTGCTGACTCTGGCCCTCCCCTGTGGGGCTAAATGGGGGAAGGAGAATCTTGTATGATGGCATGCTGAGCTGTGGAGTTAAGTACAAGTGCTTCTGAGGTACATCTCAATTGTGTGGGAAAGCCTCTCCACAACACCAAACTGTGTGGCAGTTGAGGGTCTTCTTCCTGGCAGATCACTTCCTGGTGCAACTGGACTTTTCCGCGACCCTTCCCCTCTGCAGGAAGGTGGGACCAATTCGGATGGTCCGCCCCCGCCACTTAATGGATCCAAATGCTTTCCACAGAGTGGTAGGGGATGCTTTATCCCATGTTGATGGCCTTTCAGCTGATTCCCTGGTGGCCCGCTGGAATGCGGAGTTAACCAGGGCTATCGACTGTCTGGCTCCGAAGCGCCCTCTCTGATTGCATGGAGCCCGGACAGCCCCGTGGTTTTCTTCAGAGCTGAGGGCGATGAAACAATCGCTGAGACGGCTAGAGCGTCGGTGGCAGAAAACTCATTCTGAAGCTGACCGGACACAGGTTAGAGCTCAACGTCGAGCCTACCAAGTGGCGATAGCGACGGCGAAGAAGACTTTCTTCACCGCCTCTATTGCATCTGCAGAAAATAGTAGCAGGAGACTCTTTCAGGTGGTTCGCAATTTAACGGAACCACCTTTACCACCGGGGCCTTGCAAAGACCCCAAGATCTCCTACAACGATTTTGCAAAGTTTTTTGCAGATAAAATCACTCATATTCAGAAGGAGCTAGACACCACTGTGGGAGCAGGGCTGGGGCGGGAGAGTGCTAGAGCTGTCTGGTCAAGTTGCATGGAATCAATTTCAGTCCGTTACCCCCAAGGATGTGGACAGGCTGCTTGGACACGTGAAACCAACCACCTGTCTCCTTGATCCTTGCCCATCCTGGCTAATAAAAGCAAGCCGGGAAGGGCTGGGCTCTGGGCTCTGCGGGGTGGTGAATGCTTCCCTCTGTGAGGGAACATTCCCAGATCTGCTGAAAGAGGCGGTCATTAAACCGCTTCTTAAAAACCCATCTTTAGACCCGGCCAGTATGGCCAACTATCGCCCAGTCTCAAATCTTCCATTCTTGGGCAAGGTGATTGAGTGCGTGGTTGCTGAACAACTCCAGGCACGCCTGGAGGATGCGGACCAATTGGATCCCTTCCAATCGGGATTCAGGCCTCATCATGGGACTGAAACTGCCTTGGTCGCGCTGGTTGATGATCTCCGGTGAGCTAGGGACAAAGGTGAGAGTTGTTTCCTAGTTCTGCTGGATCTCTCAGCGGCCTTTGATACAATCGACCATAACATCCTTCTGGACCGTCTAGAGGGGCTGGGAGCTGGGGGCACTGTTATACAGTGGTTTCGCTCCTTCCTCCTGGGCCGTGTTCAGAAAGTGGTGGTGGGGGATGAGTGTTCAGACCCCTGGGCCCTCACTTGTGGGGTGCCTTAGGGTTCCGTCCTCTCCCCCATGCTTTTTAACATCTATATGAAGCCGCTGGGAGAGATCATCAGGGGGTATGGGCTGGGTGTCCATCAATATGCAGATGATACCCAGCTCTACCTCTCTTTCAAATCAGAACCAGTGAAGGCAGTGAAGGTCCTGTGTGAGTGCCTGGAGGCGGTTGGAGGATGGATGGCGGCTAATGGATTGAAGTTGAATAATAATAATAATAATAATAATAATAATAATAATTTATTATTTATACCCCGCCCATCTTGCTGGGCCTCCCCAGGCACTCTGGGCGGCTTCCATAGAAACCAAAAATACAGTAAAATATCACACGTTAAAAACTTCCCTGAACAGGGCTGCCTTAAGATGTCTTCTGAATGTCAGGTAGTTGTTTATCGCTTTGACATCTGCTGGAAGGGCATTCCACAGGGCGGGCGCCACTACTGAGAAGGTCCTGTGTGAGTGCCTGGAGGCGGTTGGAGGATGGATGGCGGCTAATGGATTGAAGTTGAATCCTAACAAGATAGAAGTACTGTTTTGGGGGGACAGGGGGCGGGCTGGTGTGGAGGACTCCCTGGTCCTGAATAGGGTAACTGTGCCCCTGAAGGACCAGGTGCGCAGCCTTGGAGTCATTTTGGACTCACAGCTGTCCATGGAGGCGCAGGTCAATTCTGTATCCAGGGCAGCTGTCTACCAACTCCACCTGGTACGCAGGCTGAGACCCTACCTGCCCGCGGACTGTCTCGCCAGAGTGGTGCATGCTCTAGTTATCTCCCGCTTGGACTACTGCAATGCGCTCTACGTGGGGCTACCTTTGAAGGTGACTCGGAAACTACAACTAATCCAGAATGCAGCAGCTAGACTGGTGACTGGCGGCGGCCGCCGAGACCACATAACACCGGTCTTGAAAGACCTACATTGGCTCCCAGTACGTTTCCGAGCACAATTCAAAGTGATGGTGTTGACCTTTAAAGCCCTAAACGGCCTCGGCCCAGTATACCTGAAGGAGCGTCTCCACCCCCATCGTTCTGCCCGGACGCTGAGGTCCAGTGCCCGAGGGCCTTCTGGCGGTTCCCTCATTGCGAGAAGCAAAGCTACAGGGAACCAGGCAGAGGGCCTTCTCGGTAGTGGCGCCCGCCCTGTGGAACGCCCTCCCATCAGATGTCAAAGCGATAAACAACTACCTGACATTCAGAAGACATCTTAAGGCAGCCCTGTTCAGGGAAGTTTTTAATCTGTGATATTTTAGTGTATTTTTGGTTTCTATGGAAGCCGCCCAGAGTGGCTGGGGAAACCCAGCCAGATGGGCGGGGTACAAATAATAATAATTTATTATTATTATTATTATTATTATTATTATTATTATATTCTCCCTTTTGCAGTGAACCTCTCTCGGCCTCAGTGTGTTATCAGGATCACCCCACATCTTTCTTCTCCCTAGAGACCATAGACAGCAGCTGCCAGTCCAAGCAAGCAAGATTAAGTCAAATGGACAAATAATGTGCTAGTGTGAAGCAGCATACACTCAGTCACGGTTAAAAGCTTTCCACCAGCCTGCATAACTGTTACTCCACCAAGATGTCAATTATAGCATCCTTGCCTGGTTTTATAGCCCGGCTGAGTTAGACGCACAGCCCATTTCCTTATTCCTCATCTCCTGTTGCACCTCCCAGCTAGCTCACCCTGTTCTGGAATCGTTCTGCTCTGGGTTAGTGCTCTCCATTGTCTTGGCACACAACACCATTCTAGCTGTGGCCTCTGAGTGATGTCTGGGTTCTTCCTAATGGGTCATTCCATGTCAGTTCAACGCGGTCATGCCACCCACCATCTCAGATTTTGATGAAACTTGGTGTACACCCTTCCCTTATGGTTGAAAGAAAGAAACCCCCTTAATTTTTTTCCCCTCTTGAGAACCTCGGCCTTCTGTTCATTTTATTCCCCCCCCCCCCCCATAACCAATGATCAGATCTCTTTGAAATTTTACACAGAGCTTAATAAGAGGATGAGGATTTCAGGAAAAAATACACCAGCACTCAAAAGTTTTTATAAATGCCTAAAAAATTGTATAAATGTAGGTTTTTTGGTGAAAAAACTAGGTTTAGAAAACCTAAATTTCCAGCGTGTGGGCACGATGGAATCAGAAGTTTTTGATGGTGAAAATTATTGCAAAGACATGCTCTTTCTCAACAAATTATAAGATTTAATGGCCTCTTATGTCTTGTAACAAAATTTTACATTTTTTTGACATCATGGGGAAAAAATGGCTACTGGGTACAACTTTCCTACAATTCATAGCTGTAATAGAAAAAATTAATGAAACAAAGTTGTTCATCTTAAAATCTGAAATAATATTGGTTATTACAGGGGTTCTTTTTCAAAAGTGCAGACTTCTTTTTCAGTTTTGGGGTATTTAAAACTATGAAAATTGGCTATATCGTGAAATCAATCTAAAAAAATTAGTCAGAAACTTTGAATGCTGACATGTAAGGAAATAAGACCTAGAAAGAAAAAGATTAAAAGAATTTAAAATTATGCATTATTTTCAATTTTGCAACCATAAGGGAAGAGTGTACACCAAGTTTCATCAAAATCCGATACAGTGGGTGGCGAAACCCTTGTTTTTTCTGTTGATTTGATGTGGAAGGGCCCTAATGACACATAGTAACTTTTAACAAAACCTCTCCCATCGCTTCCAGGAAGCACTCCCCCATCATCCGCTTTCGCTTCTGCTGCTCCTCCAAAAGTCGAAGCTTCCTTGGCCGTTGTCCCAGCCACATCTTCAGTTTCCAGCAAAGGGGCACCCACTTTGTCTTTTGCGTCCTTCACTCTGAAATCCACCAGATCTGCTGCTGATACCCCACCTCAGTATCCTGGCATGTCGGAGACCCCCAAGCCTCCCCTTGGTTCTAACCTGAGCGGAGCAGTCGGGTTCCCCTTCTCTCCAACCACCAGCATCTCCAAAGCGCCTCCAACTCCATCGCTGCTGTCCAGCCCCATTGCAGCTTCTCCTCCTTCCTTCTCTTTTGGTTCCGTGAGTTATAAAGCGGGCATGGACAGCTCAGCCAGGGCCCCTCCCTTTGCGAGTCCTGTTGGGCTAAAGCAAAGTTTTGGCTCGTCACCTTCCTCCGTCAAAACTAACCTCACTGAAAAGTAAGTCTCCCTTTGAATCTTTTTAGCAATGTATGTGTGGTGGTTTTGAAGCAGTACTTGAATGTGTTAACACATTGTTTTAAAGTTGGTGGGGCTCTCCGTGTCTCGCTGGATTCAGGGTTCCCATTGTCTGATGGAACATGCTGACTGGGCTGGTGGGAGCTGGAGTCCAATATCCGGAGGGGCACCACAGGTTCTGCACCAGGGGCCCCATCTGCACTGTACATTTAAAGCAATACCGTTTTAAACAGGTCCTCCCTCCATGGAATCTTAGGAACTGTTTTTTCAGGGGGATGAGAGCTGTTAGGAGACCCAGAGTTCCTGGCAAGAAGGATTGACTGTTAAGCCACTGTGGAAATTATATCTCTGTGAGAGGGAATAGGGGTCTCCTAAACTATCACTGTGGTCTAAACCACAGAGCCTAGGGCTTGCCGATCAGAAGGTCGGCAGTTCGAATCCCTGCGATGGGGTGAGCTCCTGTTGCTCGGTTCCTTCTCCTGCCAACCTAGCAGTTCTGTAGGAATAACAGAGGAAGACGGGAGGTTGGATGCAGTGAGCTGTGTGTAACCAAGCTCAAGAACAAGCTTTGCAGAGCCTCTTTTTATTAGCAGACGTCAACAGTTGGAAACAGTAGTGAAACCACTGTGAACATGGCGTATTAACATCTAAGCACATTTCCAGCCTTATCAAATACACGTGTTAGCAGGTGTTTTCCTAAAATGTTCCCCGATACTTGATTACATCTGCGACGCTGTTGCATGCCGGGTGCGAGGTGTGCCTCAGCACAAGCGGAACGTTACCTCCACACCTCCTCTTTTCCTAAATATTAAGAGAGGGGTGTATTCTGAGTCTGAATTGGTAAGGGCCAAAACATGAGGCCCAGAGCGTGGTTTGCAAAGCTGGAGCAGAGAGGGTCATGATGTGGGGGGCAAGGCAGACCTTGCAAAGTTGAAAAAAATGAGGAAACACATTGTATAGTTTGCAGTAAGCTGGGCAAAGATGTGGCAGCAAAAAATGAGTCTAATGTCTCTGGTTGTTGGGCTCAAGAGAGCTGATGTTGTCCAGCGGGAATGAGGGCTTTGGTGTCACCCCAAGTGACTAGATGTGGTTCTTTCCTGGTCTGCACTGGGTGGCACTATGTCTCCCTTGGGTGGTGCTTTACTGGCGTCTCCTGTAGGGTTAGCTGGAAGTTTGGAAACAGATTGGTCAGGTCCTGATGCCAGGCCATGCTGGACAGATGATTGGACTGCTGACAGCACACACGGAACTGGAACTCACAACGGACCTGTAGGGGTAAAAAGTAACAGCATAGCCCCGCCCCTAGGCTATCAGGGCCACAGGGCCACAAAACTGCAGATCCGGTAGCTGTTGACACAGTAGGTTGTTAAGGTCGAGGTCCTTGGATTTGCAGAAATGCCTGTCTGCTGGTGCAAGCTGATCTGAATTAGAAGCAAGATGGTTAATTGAAAACAACAAAGTGTTAGATTTACACTGAAATCCACCTAGGGTCCTGCACTTCTCCCCATTTCCTAACTGTTTTTCCAAAAGGTGCCTTCCAGGGAGCGATTGGCAGGTTTGACTTGTTGAATTCACCATCGTTGCGGTTTCAGATCGCTGGTGGTAGCCCAGATAAAACCAGAGAAGGTATCTATGGTGACGTGAACCGCGGAATTAGGGCTTAACATGTGTTACAGATGTCACATCCATTTGCCACAACTGCATGAGGAAATGACTGAGGCATTTTGGAACAGTGAGGGCAGGTGCGAACTAAAGCCTGCGCCTGTGCAGTTTGAACTGTTTTGCTAGAACATTTGCAGATTGGTGAAAAAACCCCACATATAATGTCCACTGGGTCTAAGAATGAGGAAGTTACAGTTAGCTCTCGCAAGGCAGCATCTGCTCAGGCATTTCCTGCTGTTAAGAGCCCAGGCAGATTTTACGTGCAGAGAGAGAAACAAAGCCAACAAATTCTCATCGATTTGATTGGTTATCAAAGCCATAGGCAATTGTTCAATAAGCTGCTATACAAAAATGGCTATCTGCTATCAGAGCAGACAGAACAGCTGGAAAAAGCTAGATAGACTGAGAGCCGAGGAGGGATGTACTTTACACACCAGCCTTGATTCTCAGAAAGTTTGTAGCTCCTCGTGTTGGATTGCCATCAGTAAAGAGAGCTATGGCATGAGGGATTGGCATTGGCTGACAGAACAGGCGGACCAAGAAAGGAACACGCTGAGTCACAACTGTCCAAAGATTTTTGGGTGAGTTCTGCATTAAGGTTACTAAATCAGAGTTAGTGAGCTGCAGGGCATGAGACCATCCCTTTAGGGAGGCATTAAAATCAGCTAAGCATGTGCTATGTTTTCCAGTCATGGAAATGATGTCCGAGGGTTTTAACAACTCAAAAAAGCTGTAATGGTGCTGTGGGTAACTTATAATGGTTGCGTGGCGAGTTCCCGCCTCCCCCCGAGGAAATAAAGACACAGGACACAAGAATTCAGGTTAATGGGTCAAATTAGGCCACAACTTTATTGATTACAGGAATTGAGCAGTATTGGCTTAGGCATTGGTCCTAACTACTAACCGGCTAAAGGCCGGAAGGGTTAATCACCAGAGGGAGGAGTCCTGCTGAGGCACGTCAACTAGGACCTCCCCCGGGCGTCACCGCGTGGGGGCGTGCCGTGGGCCCACACCTCCTTAGGCTTAGGACAAGGCCACGCCCCCCGGAATCCTTTACCGAACTACCCTTGCTTGGGGGAAGGTGATGGTGCTCCTTCCCCCCTTCATTTGCACAGCAATAGGACAGTACCCCTACCAATGCCTAACCGCCAATACCGAAGTGTTGTGACGGTTTGCTACGAGGTAGGCGAAAACCAAATGGCTGGAGCCAATCTGCCATTTGGGAAAATTCCTACCAGGCCCCTTGACGGCGACCAACCGTAGTTCATAGCAACGTCAGAGAACCTATCCTAACAGGGTGGGATGGGCAGGAAAACCGGGTCAGCTGCAGCAGCGGAGGAAAGAGGAGGAGCCTAGGCTGCAGCAGGTTTAAATAGCCGAGGCCCCGCCCCCGGAGCCAGCCGATTGGCTGGCCCAGGATATGACACGGGCGGGGATTCCCTTAGGTATCACAGGGGCTGGAACCAGCCCCCGTGAATGTGGGGAAGGGGCGTGCCACCCGCAACCCCACCTCCTTGTTTATCGCGGAAGTGGCTTTGTGGAAACTCTAACTGGGGCAAACAGAAACAGATTCCAGGGGCTAGTCGGGACCTCTACATGCTGAGAGGCAAGTTGCTCTGCTACCAGGGCATATAAGGCTTTTAATTTTTACCCCGGTATTGGCCATTGGTCCACCCAAATAGGTTCCTGCATCTGCCACTTTAAGGGCAACACTGAGACAAATTCAGACACCTAATTCAAGACTAGCATTAAGTTTTTGCAGTAAATCTTGAACCCCCATTCTCAGAGCATGTCTGCAGCCGCAGGCACAGAAAAAAGGAAGTAGCTGTGCAACAGACTGTCACATGCAGCTGAGTCCATGCTTGCATTCTGAATGCCTGTGTAGTCAGACTCAATTGTCCACAAGAAAATAAAAAAAATATTAAATCCAGCCCCGCACTGCCTTTGGTGGCAGGTTTTTTAAGGATGTTACTGGCTGTTCCCTGCTACTGGTTGTGGAGAAGCCCCCCCTTTTTTTGGTCCTGGGTCAGAGGGTGACCCGACTAGGCATCTCCCAAACTCCCACACTGACTTGTCCACTGGAAGCCTTTATTGCAACATGGGAATTTTTCCAAGGGCTTAGAGTTGGTATTCTCTGGTAAACAGAGGGCTGGAGCAAGGACCGAAGCTTTATAAGTTTGCAATCCTTCCGATTGGCATGCGCGAATCATCCCAGACATGCTCAAGATGTTGGAAGCTTGGGCAGCCAACGAGTTTTTTACAGCCAGTTTCAGTAAGATTTCATTGGCAGCGTCAAGGTTATCAATCTGCCGGCTCATCGCTTCTTGCAAGCGGTTAGTGAAATCAAGAAAAGGCTCAGAGGCTCCTTGCCTAATGCTGGCAAAGATCTTGGCAGGTTTCCCAGTTTCAGGAACCTTTTTAAAGCCATACAAGGCACATGCAGAAATTAAAGGAAAATAGGCTTGAGGCAGTTGAGTCTGCATATTTATTGCAGCAAACTGACCTTCACCTACTAAATGATAAAAAATGACTCCCTGGGCTGCATGAATGGTGGCTTGGTGCTTGGCAGTTTCGTGAAATTCACTCTGCCATATCACAAATTGACCAGGATTTAAAATCATTTTCATGAGGGCTTTCCAATCAAATGGAATTAATGCAAAGCCTGATGACGTGCCTTCCAAAAGTCATTTGACATAAGTACTGGTTAGACCAAAACCATTCATTGATTTCCTGAGTTCCCTAATTACAGAATAGGGAAGGCTGTCCCAGTGGCCTAACTGGCCACCTTGATTATCTGGTGTCCAAGTAACGGGACAAACTTCAATAAGTTCAGCAAGCTCCTCTAGGTTTAAATGAGGAGATGCCTTTGCCTCTTTAACCATGTGCTGGACGGCAGAGAGGGTTTCCTTCACTGCCTTAAGGAACTCAGATCATTTTCTGCCTGACTGAGAAATCTCTAGTACCAGTAACTGGAAAGGATTGTTACTAGAAATCTTAGGCTGAAGCCCAGGAGGTATCCGACGATTAATGTCAGAAAGTTCTAAATCTGATTTAGGAGAAACTATTTTTGATACCATAGGTGGTGTGGGTGGTGGATTCATCAGGGAAATTAAAGGCTGTCTTTCTGCTGGACTAAATTTCTGAACAGCATCTTGGCACAGATGCCATGTATGTAAAATCTTTTTTTAAATAAAAATAAAATAATTTTTATTAGGTTTTTTACAAATATAGCACATACTACAACAAACAAAAAAGAAACAGAATCACAAACATAGGCAAAAATAAAAAAAAACATAACAACAAACACCTAACAACATAAGCAACACAAATTAATTAGTTGTTTAAACATCTAACCTTATAAACATATTTTGGACTTCCTCTGGGCCCTCCCATCTGAATTTCCTTGTATTTGAATGTAGCAGTTTTCTAATATCATTATTAAAACACAGTATTCCAATTAAAGTACAATTTTTAAACTTTTCTTAGAGTTCTAGATCTCATTTATTTAATTAACTCCTAATTTAATCCTAGGCCTATTTGGTACTTTCTTTTTTAAAAAAATAAATATATATTTATTAATAGTTTCAGAATTACAGAAAAAGAAGAAAAAATAAAAAACAACACTACAATACATAAAAAAGAAGAAAAAAAGCAAAACATAAAAACCAATACAACAATACAGCAAAAAGATAAAAAAAAGAAAAAGAAAAAAAGACACAAATCCCATATTACATATCTTTAACTTCCATTTGCTTGTTTCATTGACCTCCTCACACCTCCCTTTTTGTATTCTAGTTTAATTAGTTATTTCAGCAAATTCTTGTGAGGAGAACCTGAGCTTACAGGGTTAAACAGCTCAGAGTGTACGCCCTGCCTACTGTTGGGAGGGGGGAGGTTCGTCATTTCCGAGAGCCTCAAGCCTTTGTTCTCTCTCTACTTTCGCTTTTGAGGAGAGAGGACGTGTTTTCACGATGCTGTTTGCTGTGATAGATAATGGATAGTCTGCTGTAAATAAAACTGCTTTTAGCTGCTAAGATCCTGAGTGGACTTTATTTAAGCACACTGAAGCATGCACTGGAGTTTTTTTGAAGTTTTCTCTTACCGCTGCTGATCTTTGCTTTTTGCTCAGAGCATCGGAATGTGGAGTTTGGAATGCAGAGGTCTGGCAAGAGCTACGCAGCGAAAGCGGGCCGGACGCCAGGCTTATCTGAGCAATAAATCTTCTTTCAGAGGTTATGGGTGATAGTTACTGCAATTAGAGGAAGCTGCTTTGAAGCCTGAAGTGCTGTGTGCTTAAAAAGGCTGAGAAAACTGAGAAGCTGCTGTTTTTGCTGCCGGAAGAAAAAGTCCTGCTTTGAGGCTTTGCCTGGGAGAAAAGCAGGGAGACTGGCTGAAATGCTGTGTGCTGCAAAGAGCCACTGGAGGCCTCTCCTTTGAAGCTGGCTGGTACGCGTGAGTACTTCAAAGCCCCAATGGGAGCACTGGGGGAGGAGATGGCTGAGCTCCAGGACTTTTATGATGTCCCGTTTGAAAAGCTCACAACCCAGTCCTGGGATATCTGGGTTAGGAGAGTAAGGGGGGTGGTTTTTGGCCACAGGGCTCTGGAGTATAGCCCAGAAGGAGCCGGCCCCACCCATGCCAGTTGCTGCTGAAGATGGCGGAGCAGACCTGGAGGCTGTTTTGCTGGAAGATAGAGAGCAGAGAATGCAAAGAGAGCTCTGCATGTTGAGAGCAAGCGTGGACGCTATGCTGTTGCCCCACCTGGAGGGCGTTGAGTCGGCTCAGGCCGCCTGGCAGGTGCTGAGGAGTCTGTGTGAGAGCTCAGCAGGAGCCCAGGGCTGGGAGAAAGCAGAGAGCAGGGAGGAAGCCGAGAGCCCAGAAGGGGCTGCTGGCCATGTTCCTGAAGTTACAGCTGGGAGTAGCTGCTTTGTCTCCGAGGGGCCGCGTGATGTTGAGGCCTACAACCAGAGTGCTGGGGAGCGTGCAGGCCCAGGCTGTGCACCCAAAGGTGGGGGTGCAGGGAACAAAGGAATGGCTGAAGAGGGAGCTGTGAGAGCTGTTGCTACGCGTCGCCGCTGTTATCGCTGTGGCTCCCCTCCCATCTGGTGAGAGAATGTCCAGTGGAGGCACAGGAACAGCCGAAGGCCGTCTCCCGTAGCAACCAGATAAAGGGCTCTTCTTCAAAGCGTGGGAAAGGCAAGCCGAAGGCAGCTGGCAGAGACACTGAACGTAAACATTTGGCAGCCTCTATGGCTGCAGTCGAGTTGTCAACAGGATGCTGTGCTGGCTTTTGTCATAGACTCAGGCGCGTCCCATCATCTCGTGCCATCTAGTGGATTCCTGGAGAACTGCACCTCTGTAATTTCTGGGAAGACTGTCTGTTTAGCAGATGGGACTCGACACCCACTCATGCAGACTGGCTCACTGTTTTGTTCTTTCCTACAGGATTCAATCCAGGCTTTTGTTCCAGGACTGTCCTGCGCGTTGCTGTCTGTCAGTGCACTTCTTGCTGAGAACTACAGAGTGTGTTTTGAGAACAATAAGTGTTCTATTTCCAAGAATGGACAGCACCTAGTCAGTGTTGAATGTAAAGACAGGTTGTTTGTGATAGATGCTTCTTTTGCAGGTCCAGATGACACGGAGGAGGCTCAAGCACAGTGTGCCAACGTTCCAGTCCATGATGCATGTGCTCACCTCTGGCACCGACGCATGGCACACGTGTCCTGGGGGTCAGTGATGAACATCCCAGAGTGTACGCAAGGGTGCAAAATGAAATCATGTGCTAAGTTTCTACATTGCAGAGCGTGCAAGTCCGCAAAGGTGAAAACGTGCACATACCCTAGGTCTGAGAGGGTGACCACTAGGGCTTTTCAGTTAATTCATGCAGATTTGTCTGGTCCGATGTCTGTGAGCAGTATGGGCGGAGCCAAATTTGCGCTGGTTCTGATTGATGACCATACGCGGAACTCCTGGACCTTCACGCTCCGACACAAAAATGAAGCTGCGCCGCTAATCAAAGACTGGATTGCGGCTGTGGAACTGCAGTTTTCCACACGGGTGCAAAACTTTCAGAGCGATCGTGGTGGGGAGTTCACCGGGTCTGCACTGCAAAGTTTCTTCCGCAAAAAGGGGAGTCAACACAGGTTGACTTCTCCACACCGTCCCCAACAGAATGGGATCGCGGAACGCAGGAACAGGACTCTAGGGGAGATGTCCGCAGCTCTTTTGTTTGATGCCGGGCTCCCACAGCGCTTTTGGGGGGAGGCTTGGCAAACGGCCAACTTTATTCTGAACAGGTCGTTCAGTTCAGTGGTAGGTGACACACCGTACTTCTTGTTGCACGGAAAGAAACCGAAAGTGCACTCCTTCCGCGTTTTTGGCTGTGAGGCTTGGGTCCTCATACCAAAGGCCAAACGCAAGAAAGGTGAACCCAAGTCCCAGAAGATGATTTTCTGTGGGTACGAGCCAGGGACCAAGGGGTGGAGGTTTGCGTATCCGTCAGGGAATCAGTCCAGGATTCTGCTCAGCAACAGTGCTGAATTCTGTGAGCAGAGTGGCTGGGCAAGGATGCATGGGAACCCTGACATCCTGTCAGAGAGTCTACTTGACTCTGCTGATGAAGGAGAGGAAGAGGTTGAACCTGCTACTGAGGCTCAGAGTCCAGACCCAGTGCAGGCAGAGGGGAGAACTTCTCCCAAGGCTGTGAAGATCGAGGAACGCAGTGCTCCATCTTCCCCCACAGGTTCGGCTGAGAAGTCCAGACGGCGCAGTAAGTCAGAGGGGGAGCCCTCTGATGCTAAGGACGTTCTGGCTGGCCCTAGTGGGTCAGAGGGGGTTCCTGAAGTAGTGCTGCGTCGGTCAACTCGGACGACCAAGGGGAAACCTCCTGAAAGGTTTGCCGTCACTAGTGTGTGGGTCGGAATGGCACAGTGTGAACCCGAGAGTTTTGAGGATGTTCAGAAACTGCCTCAGGAAGAAGCCAGAAAATGGCATGAGGCGATGCAGAAGGAGATGAACTCAATGGAGTCGCTAGGTGTGTTCTCCCTCACGAAGTTGCCGGTGGGCAAACAGGCCGTCGGTAGCCGCTGGGTTTACCGTCCTAAGCCCACAGCGACAGGAGAACAGCAGTATAAGGCCAGATTAGTGGCGAGATGATTCACGCAGCGCAGGGGGTTGCATTATACGGAAGTTTATGCTCCCACCTCTAGGAGTGAATCTCTACACTTGGTCTTGGCCATTGCTGCACAAAGAGGGTTGCTGGTGCATCATTTTGATGTGGATGTTGCTTACTTGAACTCAGACTTCCAGGAGGATTTGTACATGCTTCCTCCTCCAGGGTTTGAGGGCAATGAGCAAGGTACTGTGTGGAAACTTCACAAGTCAATTTACGGCCTGAAGCAATCGGCCAGGAATTGGAACTTGTGCCTGAATGAAGCTTTGGAGAAGCTAGGTTTCAGGAAGAGTCTTGCTGACAGTTGCCTGTTCCTTAGAGGATCAGGAGACTCACAGGAACTGGTGTTATTTTACGTTGATGACATCATCCATGTTGGAAAGGCAGACAAACAGGTGCAGAAGTTTGCCAAAGAGCTTGGGAAACGGTTTCAGCTCAAGAACCTGGGTGCAGTAAAGATCTACCTGGGCGTCCAGATAGCGAGAACTGAGGATGGTAGCTTCTTGCTCAGTCAGAAAGGCAAGATTGAGCAGTTACTCAATTATACATAACTCCTGATATCATTTCTACTAGAGCCATCTAGTTTCATTCCAACATTTTCCCTAATATTCTTTAATTTTAGACTAAATCCCTAAATAAAAACTTTTCTTTATAAATTTTCTTCCAATCTTCATCCAACGTCTCTTCTTCCTGGTCTCGGGTCATGTCAGTCCTTACTGTCCATTCCATCTAGTCCATCAACCTGGTAATCTTATGTCCGAGGCCCTTAAGTCTCTTCCATGTCCCTTCTGCAGATCTTCTTCTTCTTGTTTATACCTGCACTTTTCCTTGTCTTTTGTTGGTCTCTTTCTTAATTTCTTTCCTTTCTCATTGAGGAGTAGGTCTCTGGGAGGTTCCAACCCAAAATTATCTCCGTCTCCCTTCATCAAACCAGCCCGTTCCCCACAGTCATCAATGTAATCCAAAAAATATTTAAGAGCATATTTCAAAGTCTCTCCAAAGTTAAGAACCTCCTCAGCTCCAGGCTCCCCCTGGCCCACTCCAACTTCAATCTTCAAAAACAGTGGCTTATGCTCCTGCAGGGCCTCGGATCTCTCCATTTGTATTATTTGAGGTGCAACCGCAACCTCCTCCATGATCTTCTGCACTTGCCCAATCAATACAGGTTCCTGAGTTGGTCCCTGAATGGTTTCTGTATCAATATTCCCTGTTTGTCCACAGTTATTGACCATAACAGTCATCAAATCCGTTTTCTCATTCATCAAATCTATCTTCTCATGCATCTGTTCCAACAAAGCACTTGTCTTGCATAAAGCAAGCACCAAAACTTCCTCCCAGCTCATGTTTAGTCAAGGTCAAAAGGACTGGTCCCACGATCTTAATCTCACAGCTGTAGAGTCCTCAAGTAGACTGCAGCAACAATTTAGCAAGCTCCCTCTAGAGGAGACAATTTCTATTTGTATCCATCTTTTTAAAGCAAGTCCAACAAAGGAAAATTACTTTCATTTTTCAGATATTTTGTTTCTTTAGAATGCAAAAGGCAACATTGGAATCAGTTTATTTCTCTTCTTTAGCTATCTGTCAAAGTATTCCATTCACAGTCAATGAACCTCTCCAACAATTTCAGTCTCTGACACCCCGTTTCCAGGTTAGAGACGGTGGAAACTTATATTTCTTCACTCCCTCTCCTGCAGGCATTAAACAAAGTCCCCCCCCCTTTTCTCCTGCTTCCAAGGGGGTTTCAGTAGTTATAAATGAAGGAAATTTAGACTTTTTTAATGACTTTCCAGGCTTTAGCTTACAAGGTTTTTGCTTCAGTCTATATACAAAAAGTGGAAGGCGGACTTCCTGTTTTGAACCTTCCCGCTTCGGTGCCAAATTAAGATATTTCTTGATCCAATTTTCCGTTTCTACTCACAGGTACTTGTTTTAAATCCAATTGTCCACAGGAAAAAGTCAGTGCTCTCCGGCAATGGCTGTGCGGCTTCACTCCGTGAAAGTAGCAATCAGTTCGCAGCACCGCGCCGCTCACCCCACTTCACTCCGGAACCCCAAAATGGGGTTCCCCGTGATTAGGGGGGGCGCTCCTGGTGCCCTGCCGAACCCCACGTTCCCAGGCTTCCTCCGCCTGGGATTTCTAGCGGGTCCCCACCTTCGCCGCGGCGGGAAGACCCAGTTTCCACGGAGCCAGTTCCTCCAGTCGGCCTATTTGGTACTTTCAAGCAATTTCTAATTTTTAATATTACAATATTTATTCAAATAGTCTTTAAATTTCTTCCACTCTTCTTGGTATTCCTTTTCTTTCTGGTTGCGGATTCTTCCAGTAAGGTCAGCCAACTCCATATAGTCCATCATTTTCACCTGCCATTCTTCCACAGTTGGTAATTCTTGTGTTTTCCATTTCTTGGCTATTAAAATTCGGGCAGCAGTTGTGGCATACAAAAATAACTTTACATCTTTCTTGGGTAGTTCAAAACCTATTATTCCAAGTAGAAAGGCCTCTGAGTTTTTTTATAAATGTATATTTCATCATTTTAAAAAATTCATTATAAATCTTTTCCCAGAAGTCCTTCACCTTGGGACAGGTCCACCACATGTGATAAAAGGTACCTTCCTTTTCTTTACATTTCCAACATAAATTATCACAGTTACGATAAATCTTAGCTAATTTAACGGGTCAAGTACCACCTAGACATCATTTTCATAATATTTTCCTTTAACATCGTACATGCAGTAAACTTAACCCCTTTCTTCCATAACTTTTCCCAATCCTCCATCATTATATTGTGTCCCACATCTTGTGCCCAGTCAATCATAACCGATTTAACTTGTTCATCCTTTGTATGCCACTCCAACAACAAATTATACATTTTAGACATATTCTTAACATTAGTGTCCAATTTGGTTTTTTCTGTTGCAAAACCATTTACAGTGGTGCCCCGCAAGACGAATGCCTCGCAAGACGGAAAACTCGCTAGACGAAAGAGTTTTCCGTTTTGGAGGTGCCTCGCAAAACGAATCTGCAATGGGCTTGCTTCGCAAGACGAAAATGTCTTGCGAGTTCCTGGGTTTTTTCTCCTTTTCCCCTCTTTTCTAAGTCGCTAAGCCGCTTATCTGCTTATCTGATAAGCTGATAAGCTGCTAAAAGCCGCTAAAAGCCGCTAATAGCGCTAATAGCGCTAATCCGCTAATCCCGTCAATGGGCTTGCTTCGCAAGACGAAAAAACCGCTAGACGAAGAGACTCCCAGAACGGATTCTTTTCGTCTTGCGAGGCACCACTGTATCTTATCAATCTTGAATAGTTCATTAATTTGATAGTATTGAAGCCAATTCACGTTATCTTTGATTTGTTCAAATGGTTTTATATTTAACTCCTTCATTGTCTTCTAACAATAAATCTGAATATCTCAACCATTTATTTTCCATATTTAGCTCTTTTTGGGCCTGTGCTTCCATTGGTGAAATCCATTTGGGTGTTTTTCATACCAAGAGATCCTCCATACATTGTATAGCACTTTTCTAATTATATGATTCTTAAAACCACTATGGGCCTTTATCTTATCATACCATAGATATGCATGTTGGGATACTGCCAGGGAGACAAAGGCCATCAGGAAGGCCTACACGTCGTCTCCAGACAATCTCTTGGTCTCCTGTAGAACAGCATCAGTCAATTAGCGACACGAGCCTCAGACACATTCCAAGACCCATGAACGCCCTTTTCGCAGAGTTTCCACAACGGAAGATTCACCCAGGAGAGCATATTTACAGCATTATTCAACGTTGGTCAGAACAAAGGAAAAACATGACTGCTTGCATCCATGTCGAGGAAAACAGCAAGGACAAAAGCTATATACAAAACGGAAACTCCCAGTGAGCAGGAAGTACACAGGCATGTGACACACAACAGCCTGTCCCCTTTTTAAGATGGAACAGAAATATCCTAACATCCTCCCCCTTTCCGTGTAACCTGTAGTACCTGTGGTTCAACCCAATTGCAACCTCTGTACATAAACCTTAAGTTGTTCTCTGTTAACAACCTTAGACAACAGATCAGCAGGAATTTCATTTCCTGACATGTAGGATACCTGAATGAGTCCTTTCTGAATACACTCTCTTGCACGATGTAGCTTAATCTGCAAGTACTTGGTTCTTTGCTTGCAACTCTCTGAGTTCAGCAAAGCCAAACAGGATCTATTGTCTTGATACACTTGTATAGGACATTTCACAGAAATTCTGATGTCCTGAAACAGTTGCATCAACCATTCACAATCCATGAGTGAAAATGACAGAGCATTGAGTTCTGCTTCACAGGAACTTAGGCTTACTGTCGTCTGCTTTTTGCACAGCCAGTCAAACAGAGAGTGGTTGTACATGTGGCATACTCCAGAAGTGCTTGCACCATCCGTGGTGTCACTTCCAAAACTAGCATCTGCAAAGATTTCAAGACCTCCAGTCTTCTGACGGGTGAACCTCAGCCTGTAGTGCAAAGTCCACTTCAAATAGCGGGCTATGCGCTTCAGAGCTTTCCAATCCTGAACAGTAGGATTGTTGGCATGTCTGCTAATCAGGTTAGTGCTTACAGCTATGTCAGGTCTTGAACATCTAGCAATGAAATTCAGCTTGCCTAGAATGCATCTGTACAGTGTGGTGTCAGAAAATGCTTCAGCAGTACTATCTACCTGGTAACCTGTCACCATCGGTGTGTCTGCTGGGTTTGCAACAACCAAATTCAACCTGGTTAATACATCAGCAATTTTCTGTGTTTGGTGTACCAGAAAATTACCTGCTTGGTCACTCTCCACCTGCAGAGAAAGATAGTTGGATACCTCACCAAGATCCTTCATGTCAAAGTGCTCCTTCAGCTGAGCTAGGGTGCTTTGGTACAAAGCTTGATTCTTCCAAAACAGAAGAAGATCATCAACAAAACACAAACAATGCAGTTTGTTTTGCCCCTCCTCCTTGACAAACACACATGGATCAGCTTTGCCTTTGTGAAAACCTAGAGAAAGCAATGTCTCAGTGAGTTTTGTGTCCCAACACCTGGCACTCTGCTTGAGACCATATAAGGATTTCTGCAGTTTACGGACCATTCCCTTCTGTATCTGCATTCCATCAGGTGGAAGCATATACAGCTCCTCCCCCAAAACCCCGTACAAAAAAGCTGTTTTCACGTCGTGATGAGAAACGTGCAGTTTCTCCTCTGCAGCAATCTTGAGCATTAGCCTAATGCTCTCATACTTGACGGTGAGTGAGTAGGTCTCGTGGTAATCCTGTCCTGGTACCTGTGAAAAACCTCTGGCAACCAATCTGGCTTTGTGTCTGACAACCTTGTCAGTCTGGTCTGTCTTGGCCTTGAAGACCCATTTGCTGCCAGCCAGTCTCATTCCTGGGACTACTGGGACTAGCTCCCAGGTTTGGTTCCTATCCAAGGAATCAATTTCAGCCTTCATGGCATTAAGCCATGGCTCAGCATCTTTAGAGGTTAACTGCTGAACCTCTCTGAAGCTTGAAGGTTCCCACACCTTCTCTGAGCTACTAAGAACAGCAGTTGCTGTCTTAGCAAACTCATCAGTAAATCTCTTTTGACGTTTGCCTTTTGTGGCCCTTTCAGATCTGCGTACTAGACGCAAGTCTTCTGCACTCATCTCCTCCTTCTTAGGAGAAAAGTGACCAATGGTGAACAGTGGTTCTTCCAGTTCAGTGTCAGACGCATCAGATAGTCTGACTGAGGCCTTTGCGCTCTTGTAGTCTGCTGTGTCATCACTGTCACTGACAACAGCAGCAGCGCTGCCCACTGAGCTGGAATCCGAGCTCTCATCATCATCATCCTCAGCTTCCTCTTCTACCTCAACATCATCTGCTTCTTTCACATCATCTTCATCCTCCTTTTAGTGACTATGGAAAATTCCCACATTTCCCCCCCACTTAGGATTGTACTCAACACTCTTTGTGAACCTATTGGACTTAGAATCAGGCAAGAATACCCTGTATGCACCTTTTTCATACCCCATGAACAAACCATGTGCCCCACGCTTCCCAAGCTTGCTGCTCTGTGGGGTGTAGACCCACATGTCAGAACCAAAGATTCTCATGTGCTTGATGTAAGGTTTCTTACCAAACATCTTCTCATAGAGAGTACAACCAATAGGTGATGATAGTCTCCTGTTATAGGAATAAACAAACGTGTTCAAAGACTCCCCCCAAAACTTCTCAGGGAGATTGGCATCATGCAACAAGGTTTTTAGGCCTTGCAGCAAAGTTTCGTTTGCTCGTTCACAAAGTCCATTCATCCATGGAGAACTAGGAGTTGAGAGGCTATGCTGGATTCCCTTCTCAGTCAGGAAAGTTTCAAACTGCTGAGAAGTTAATTCACCCCCTCGATCAGTAAACAACCAACCAATGTGTTTGTTGTGAACATTTTCCAACCAAGCACAGAACTCCTTGAACTTAGGAAACGCTTCTGATTTCTGCTGGAGCATAAACACATGAATGTACCTGGAAAAAGAATCAATTAAAACCATGAAGTACCTTGCTCCACCCAAAGAGGGCGCAAGTGGACCAACCAGGTCAGCGTGGACTAGCTGATAGGGCTTGGAAGCCTGCCTGCTAGACACCTTGCCTTTTGGAGCAACCTTCACCTTGTTCTCTGCACAAGATAAACATTTCATGTGAAACTTACAGGGCTTGATGTTCCAACCCTGACCCAACCCAGGTATTTTGGCCAGTGCCTGCCAAGACATGTGACCAAATTTTTGGTTTGCCTCATGAATACATCCTGCATGAAGAACTTTGTTAGTTTGTGCAACACAACAAGATTCAACATTAGACACAGCAACACCATTGTCATCATAAGTTATACAGAACAAACCATCTATAAACTTTGCATGCGAAATGCCCTCTTTGGCTTTCCTGATGACACAGACGCTCTTCTTGAAGGAAATCTCAAAGCCTCACCCAGTCAGCTGTGGGACGCTGAGCAAATTGTCTGCAGCATCTGGAACATAAAGTACTTCGCTGATGGTTGAGTGCAGACTTGCCAGTTTCACTGTCCCAACTCCTGTAATTCTCAACGTCTTTCCATCAACCTGTTGGATCTCTCCATCTTGAGGCATGAAGGAAATAAACAGCTGCCGATCCTTCATAATGTATGTGCTGGTCCAGGGGGGAGGTTACCGTGGGGCGAGGTCCAGGACCTGAGTAGAGGGTCACCAGACAGTCCTCCTCGGGCAAAGCAGGGTCCACAGTGAGAAGCCGGGCAAGGACAGGAACTCTGGGGGAACAGGACTGGATGCTGGCCGAAACAGCTCATCAACGACGTTGCTCCCGCAACCTGGGAACGGGCTGACTGGCCTTTATCTTCTCTGAGGCCAGGGGCGGTCCCGGCCCCCAGGAGACCCGCCTCTCCTGGCCTTAAGGCGAGCACTCCTCCTGGGAGAAACCAGTTCTCTTCGCCTCTCTGCCCTGAGCCTCTGCAGTTCAGGAGAGGCTGAAGGGTTACTGGACCCAGGGGGAGACTCACCTGTAGGCACTGAGTCCTCAACCACCTCTGGAGCCAGAGTGGATTCACCTGGTGCCTGCTCCTGAGGATCCGGCGCCGGTGCAGGCGCTTCAGAATCAAGGCCCTGCCCCAGTTCAGCCGGCCCTGGAGGCGGGGACTCCTGTGCAGGCTGGGATTCCTCCGGTTCAGCCTCTGAATCGGATTCCCAGGCCATCACAATGTGCCTTGTCGCTCCAGAATCGACGGCAAATTTTCCTTTGGCCTTTGGAGAAGCAGTGCTAACAAACAAAGCCTTGTTTTTCATTGGCCTAGGCTTTCCACCCCCCTTCTGTTTCTGGCCATCTGCAGGCTGCTTCTTTGTTTATTTCCAGTCTTTGGGCAAAATTTCTGAAAATGACCTTGGTTCCCACAGTTCCAGCACTTCACAGCTGCCAACGCCTTGGCTCCCCCTGGAGGCTGGAATGCTGTCTCACATTGCTCCCCCTGAAGCGCACAAGCTGACTCAGCTGCATTCCTCCTATCATATTCGTTTTGCAAGGTCGCCAAAACCTTTGTAGCAGTGAGGTCCTGCGCAGGAAGAGTTGCCAGCTGGCTTGCCACAACATGATAGCTTTCATCCAGGGAGTCCAGGATAAGGATTGCAAACAGAGACTCAGGCATATTGAAACCTCTATGAGTCAATTCCTGTCTGAGATGCTGCAAATGTAAAACATGGGCTCTAAGGTCTTCCCCTGGCTCCAAACGCTTCCTGTGCAGCTTTCTGAAGTAAAGCAACACAGACCCAGCTTCTTGTCGGAGATGACAGGCCTTAAGCCCTTCCCACATCTCACGGGCACTGGCCTTTCCAGCCAGGGTGATTAACTCTTCAGGAGCTACCGAGAGCAAAATTATTCACATGGCTCTTGAATCCTGTGCCTCCCATTCATCTGTCAAAGGGGCTGGGGGGTCCTCAGAAATAGTTTTCCACACACCAAGCCTTCTCATCTGGCCCTCACAGTACCTTGCCCAGGTCTGATAATTGTGGCCATTGAGCTTTGGGCACGGAGCACCATCTGAGGCTTGTAAAAGCTCCATTTCAGCTCTTTACTTCAGCCGTGAGCCTTATTCACTTCAAAAGCTCCTTATCTTTGGCAGCTCGTAAATCAACGAGGCCTTCTTGCTCTCCTCCGGCCTAATTAGTCTGCTGGACTTCAAAGACTCTGCCGTGGCACAGAAAAGTCTTGCTTTTCCCCACATACCTTTTGCAGTCTTTTGCAGTCTTACTCTCCTGTAAGTGCTGTGAATCTGGGCCTGTAACCTGTTGTTGGGATACTGCCAGGGAGACAAAGGCCATCAGGAAGGCCTACACGTCGTCTCCAGATGATCTCTCGGTCTCCTGTAGAACAGCATCAGTCAATTAGCGACATGAGCCTCAGACACATTCCAAGACCCATGAACGCCCTTTTCGCAGAGTTTCCACAACAGAAGATTCACCCAGGAGAGCATATTTACAGCATTATTCAACGTTGGTCAGAACAAAGGAAAAACATGACTGCTTGCATCCATGCCGAGGAAAACAGCAAGGACAAAAGCTATATACAAAACGGAGACTCCCAATGAGCAGGAAGTACACAGGCATGTGACACACAACAGCCTGTTCCCTTTTTAAGGAGGAACGGAAATATCCTAACAATGCATGCCAACCAAATCGATTGTCCAATCCCTCCAGGTCCAAAATATCTTCATTGTCTAATTTAATCCAATCTTTAATCCAGCAGAAGGCCATAGCTTCAAAGTATATCTTCAAATCAGGCAGGGAAAAAACCCCTCTTTCTTTTACATCCGTAAGTAGTTTATATTTAATTCTAGGTTTTTTTTCCTGCCAGATAAATTTTTTCCTGCCAGATCAATCAGGGATTGAGGACTATAAACTTTGTACAAAAATGGAAGTTTGGCATTTCAACATCCTACAGTGGTCAGTTCTTTTTGCTAAAAATGTCTATTGCTGCCACACAGATTTTATTTTTTACTGCCTGTCTGTGTTCCCTCCTTTCTGGAATGGTCACATGTGTGCTTAGAGCTCTCTTTGCCATGGTGGTCTGCTCTTTCTTGCTCTTTCTTATCTACTGCAGAGCTTTCCAAACTTTACATGTTGGTGACACACTTTTTAGACATGCATCATTTCACAACACAGTAATTCATTTTTTTACTAGCAAACTGGAGGTTAAACTAACTTCTTTCCAGCCCTGGGAGAAGCGTGGGAAGCATTTGCATGACACACCTACACACTGCAGCTGCCACAACACACAGTTTGGAGAGCTCTGATCTACTGCTTAATATTTCAAAAATCTTCTAATCAGCATTCAGTCTAAAAAAACAAACAGCATGTCATTAAAACTAAAACACAACCTTAAAAACAGCTATATGGAAACTACCGTATTTTTCGCCCTATAGGACGCACTTTTTCCCCTCCAAAAATGGAGGGGAAATGTGTGTGCGTCCTATGGGGCGAATGCAGAGCTAGCTGAAGCCTGGAGAGCGAGAGGGGTCGGTGCGCACCGACCCTCTCGCTCTCCAGGCTCAGGAGCTATCCGCAAGCCTGGGGAGCTCCGTGGGAGTTCCGGTTGGGCTCCCCAGGCTTGCGGATAGCAGCCTGCATCCCGAAGCCTGGGGCACGCTACACAGCGCGCCCCGGGCTTCGTGCAGATATCGGGCAGCCCCACAAGCTCGGGGGACAGCGGGGAGTCACAGCACGCCTTCCCGCTGTTCCCCGACCTGGTTTGGAGGCTGGCGCTGGGGCGAAGCGGGCTTCTCCCCAGCGCCAGCCCCACAAGCTCGGGGGACAGCGGGGAGTCGGAGCGTCGACATCCCGCTGTTCTCCAACCTGGTTTGGAGGCTGGTGCTGGGGAGAAGTGCACATCTCCCCACCACCAGCCCCACAAGCTCGGGGGACAGATATCCGCAAGCCTGGGGAGACCGGCGCGACCTCCCGCCAGGCTCCCTAGGCTTGCGGATAGCAGCCTGTTCTGGGGGCTGGGGTCGGGGGAAGCTCGGGCATCTCCCACCCCAGCCCCGCGCCTGGGGGGGGGGGAAATAAATTTTCCCCCTTTATTTCCCCCCCAAAAAACTAGGTGCATCCATTGGCTGGTGCGCCCTATGGGGCGAAAAATACGGTACATAAAAACATATAAACTTAATTTTCCTGAAAGCAGATAACTACACTTACCAAATCCTGTTATCTTTGAAATTCATGAGTCTATGAGTGATTTTGTTTCTTTTTGGACTCTTAGTGGAGCGTCCTTCTCAGAGTGCTCTTCCAGCTTCCATGCTCCAGAAAACAGCCAAGATTTCCTCAGCTGTTTCAAAAGTGAGCCCTTCCCAGGTAATTAGAAGCTGACCTGTCTGTCCTTCCCAGGTAATTAGAAGCTGACCTGTCTGACAGGAAACATATTGTTCCATCTCAAAAACAAGGATCAAATCAGACAAAGCTTACTACGTGAACATAGCTGCTTCTATCTCACACAGCTTCTCTCTGGAAGATTGAAAGAGTCTCTGAGCAGATTTGGTAAAGGGAGACATTCAGTTATGTGAGTGAACCCCAAGAGTGTGTTCCTGTGCATATTAGGTGGTTATTTAGCAAGGAAGACATTTTAACTGTGACTCCTGGTGGATATGTGGCTCAGGGTGCCTAAACACTGTTGGGGGATGGGGTGGGGGTTGCTTAGGAGTTTTATGGGGGGCAGGTTTTAATTTTGGGGAGGCTTAATTTTTCTTGTCCTTAGTATTAATTTTTTGTACCATTATTGTCAGACCCACCCTTATAGAAAAGCAAATTACAAACTTTATTTACTTGTGTTTTGCTTTCAACACACACGCTCCCCCCTTCCTCCCTCTCTTCCTTTAATATGTTCAGAAGTTTTCTTGTTTTATCTCTCATAGCAGAACATTTTAGTTCTAAAATTCCCCATCAAACAATAATAAAGCATTTGTGCCTTGCAGGGCCAGCAGCAACCACCCACTGCTGGGGTGGAGAAACAGGCTCACCAGTGGAAGGATTCAGATCCTGTCATCATAGGAATCAGGGAGGAGGTGAGGCTTTCTGGAGCTATGATGTACTGCTCCTCCCCGGGTCACCTTTCTTTGAACCTGGGTGTCAGGGAACTGCCATCAGTGCCGGAGGGAGAGAGCAAAATCCAGAGGGATTCCGGAGAGCATTCCGGGATTGGGAGAGGCAGCCCATCCTCTGGGGAAGATAATCAGCGTCGCACCAGTGGAGAAGGGGGGCAGATGGGGGAAGCGGCGAGGCGGTCCCATGACGCCTTGCCTGGGACGACGGGGAGAGTAGAGGTCCTCCGCTGCCTACGCCCTCCTTGCGCAGAAGGCTTCCGCGCAGAGAGACTAGGAGGCGACTAAGCGTCAAAGAGCTTCTTTGCTGGAAGAAGTTTAAGAAACGCCCACTGACGGATTCTGCCAGCGATTGAGACAGCCACGGGTGAGTGGCTGTCCGGACAGAAAAGGTTCATTCAGGCAATCCAGCCAGGTGTTTGAACTGGCTTACGCACGAGCAACCCCTAGAACCATTACAGCAATCCGTCAGTCCCTGACGTTGCTTGTGCGCAGCACCGGAGAGGCAGCACGATGAGCCAAACGGGGCCGGCCGGAGAGACAGAGCAAGAAGCCATGGTGCGAGGTCTGGTCGAGAGGAACCGAGACCTGGAGGCACATGTCGCTACCCTGTCAGCGCGGCTGGAGGAGAGGCGGGCTCAGGATGCACAGCTTAGAGCCACCCCTATAGGGAGGAAGGCACCGGGGCTGGTACACAAGTTCAGTGGAACGTCCCAAGACTACAATGCCTTCCGGACGGAAATTCAGTACGCTTTGGAATTGCAGGAAAAAGACTTAGCGGATGACGGAGAGAGGGTGGCTTACATTATTGGACATCTGCAGGATGGGGCGCGCGAATGGATCAGGCCCTTGATGGCATCGGGGAATGACGCTTTGAAAGATCTTAAGAAATTCTACCTTGTGATGGACGCGATGTTCTCCAGTGAGATTGAGCAAAGCGTGACACGGAGGGAGCTGATGGGGTGCAAGCAGGGGAGCCTGTCCGTCAGAAACTACTGGTCGCGTTTTGTGATGTTAGTCCACAAGCTCGGGTGGGATCTGGACTCTGAACCAGTACAAATGTTGTTTGAAGCGGGTCTGGCCCCCGGAGTGAAAGACGAGTTGTCCTGAGCACCCCGCCCGCGGTCAATGGATGAACTCACAAAGGCTGTGCTTGCGATTGGTGTACACCAGGAAGCGCGGGCTCAGGAAAAGCGGGAGATAAGGGCGAAACGTTTCCATGAAAACCGCATTCCGGAGATGCCGAGGGAGCCTTCCCAGGCGGCGGAGCCGATGGAAATTGATGGAGCGCGCGCGCAAAATTTCAAACGCTGGGGAAGGTCGGAGAAGGGAGGCGAAGGAGTGGAAAACTACCAAGAAGTGTTTCCTTTGTCAGAGGCCAGGACATTTTGCAAAGGTCTGCCCTCAACGAAAAGCCTGGCAAGGCATGATGGGGGCTGCAGGCCACGACAGTAAGGGGGAGGAAGAGCAGGTGCAGGGAAACGACAACGCCTGGCTGCCAACCAGCAGGGGCAGCAGCCAGGCCAGCAACCAATAGAAGTGCCCCAGCCTGCCCCCCCCCCAAAGCCGCTATAGCCATAGAGGTGGTGCTAGAACTCCCAAATGGGCACCCCGTCAAAGTCGAGGGGCTGCTAGATTCTGGCAGCTCGTGTAATTTCTTCAGCAGAGACTTCGCTCTGGAGCACCAGCTCCACCTGTTGCCACTAGATTTTCCCTTGCAGGTGAACACCATAGATGGCAGGGAACTACTGGGAGGGGAAGTGACACACCAGACACCGCCAATGCGAATGAGGGTCTCCAGACACACAGAGACCATTGCCTTTCACGTGGCCACGCTGGCAGGACCCCTGATAATACTGGGAATGAGCTGGCTGGCAATACATGACCCAGTGGTGTCATGGCATCAGCGGTTGGTCACCTTTGGGTCAGCTTACTGCTTAGAACACTGTCTGGGAGGGAAAGAACCAAGAAGGACTGTGGCCAGGGTGGCTGGGGTGACCCTGGAGCAAAAGAGGGAGGTGCCACCACAATATGCGGATTTGAAGGAGGTCTTCAGCGAGAGGGAGGCAGACAGACTGCCCCCCCCACAGGCCATTTGACTGCCAAATCAACCTGCTTCCAGGGGCTCAGTTACCGGTGGGTAAGCTGTATGCCATGTCCGACCGGGAGATGCAGGAGTTGCGGCAGTTTATTGACAAGAACCTGAAGAGGGGTTTCATAAGGGAATCGAAGGCGGTGGGAGGCAGTCCAGCGTTCTTTGTGGACAAAAAAGAGACTAATCAGCCCAGATTAGTCGTGGATTACAGGGCCCTAAACCTGGTGTCAGAACCCGTGACTTTCCCAATGCCCAGGATTGACGATATTTTGACACGTGTGAGGCAGGGGAAGATTTTTACCAAGCTGGACCTCAGGGGAGCATACAATCTGATTAGGATAAGGGAGGGGGACGAATAGAAAACGACCATGTTCACCCCCCGGGGGCTTTTGAGTACTTAGTCATGCCATTTGGATTACAATCGGGGTCCGCCTGCTTTCTTTCTTTCTTTTTTTTTTAAATGATGTTTATTGAAATTTCAAAAAATACAAAGCTTACCCAAAACCAAAAAGTAGAAAATACAAAAGCTTACACAAAAAAAATACAAAAAATAAAAATAAAAATATGAGAAAATAGAAGATACAGAAGAAAAATAGAAGAAAACAGAATAAATTCATTATTTTCAGATCCTTAACTGTCATTACCTTCTTTCTTAGACCTCCTCCTCCTCCCTTCCTTTGTATTCTAGTTATTAATTATCCCAGCAAATCCTTTCCTTTCCATATTTCAAAAAAATAAAACATAAAAGGAATTCTCAACTAATTTAATCCTGTCTTTCTATAATAAAATAAACCTTAAAGTTTAAAATTTAAGTCTTAACTTTACCAACTTCTTGTGTTCATAATGTTCTTTCATAATTCTTTATGCATCTTTACTAAAGCCAGGTAATTTCTTCCAACATTTTTCTATCATTCATTTTTCTATCATTCTATCATTCATCAACTTTATAAAACATTCTATTAGTTAAAAAAATAAAAGGAGAAAAAAGCATATAAACAAGTCCAATCTTTATCCAACGTCCCTTCCTCCTGGTTCCGGGATTTGTCAGTCCTTATTCCTCAATCTAACCCGGTGACCTTATGTCCGAGGCCCTCAAGTCACTTCCATGGCCCTTCCGCGGCTTTTCTTCATATTTGTGGCTGTAGTCACTTGCTCGTAATAACTCCAACTTAGTAGTGTTTTTAGCCCTTCTCATCAGATCAGACCCTTTTCCGTATTCATCGCTGCATTCCATGTAGTATTTAAGAGCATGCTTCAAGGGCCCTCCGAAATTGTGGGCCCCCACAATTCCAAACATATCGCAGCCTGTTACTGTATTTAAAAAGTCCAGATATCCCGACATAGGGGGGTCAATCCAGCCCCCCATTTCCAAACCACACCGAACTTTCCCTTCCCAGATTTGGTTTTTTCCAGGTTCCTTTATCAAATCCGAAGGATCAAACTCCTGTTGGGACTGTTCTGTCAAGACACACTCCTGATTTAATGCCACAAACCCCTGTTCTGTCAAAACACACTCCTGGTTTGAGTCCTGGATAGACTCCACATATATTCCCACAGTCTGGTCAAAACCTTCCACTGCCTGTCGATTTCCAGTCGAATTGGCCATCCGGTTCACCTTATCATGTAATTCTTCCAGTAGAATATTTGTTTTATAAAGCAGGCACACCACAACTTCTGAAAACATTGTCACGCTTTCCCACGGTTATTTTGTAGCAGCTGTCAAGTCCTTGAAATTAGTTACAGTTTCAAAGGCTCCCCCTAGGGGGAAGACTTATATTTGTTTTTGCTACATTTCCAAAATACTTGAAATACTTTGTCCATATATATTCCTTTAAAATGCAAAAGGGAACAGTAAAGTCACAAAGATTCTCTTCTTTTAGCTATCTGTCACACACAGTTATCTTGATAAATTCACGTCAGTCCTGACTTCCCCGCTCCAGGATCAGGACGAAAATAACTTCCTTTTACTACTTCAAGTAGTCCAAAAAAAAATATTCCCAATTTAGAATGTTGGAATCCACTCTTTTAAAAGCGATTTTCAAAGCTCTAGTGTAAATTGCCTTTGCTTTGTTCTATTTACAAAAGAACGGAAGGGTGACTTCCTGTTTAGCCCTTCCCGCTCCGTACCGAATTCAATAGATTTTTTTCTTTCTTTTTTTAATAGTCCAATTCTGTCCTTTTCAAAAATCTTCATTTACTGTCCCATTTGTTCAAATTCTAAGTACTCACGGGTATTTGTTTTAAAGTCCGAATTGTCCAGGAAAAAAGGCAGCGCTCTCCGGCAACAGCTACGCGGCTTCACTCCACAAAAGAAGCAGACGACTCACAGCACAGCGCCACTTCCCCGCTCTGTTCCGGAGCCCGTTGCCGGGTTCCTTTGCAGATTGGGGGGGCGCAAACAGTGCCCGCCGAGTCCCAGGGTCACAGGCTTCACCCGCCTGTGATTTAAAGGGTCCCCGCTGCGCCGAAGCGGTGTCAGACCCAATTTCTGTGGAGCAGATTCCCTCCGAATTAGAGGGAATCCGCCATTGCCGTTGGCGCCACCTCCGGAAGTCGGGGGGTCCGCCTGCTTTCAAGCATTCATGCACCATGTGTTGGGGCCCCTGCTGTACAAGAATTGCGTAGCCTTTCTGGATGACGTCTTAATCTATCCGGACAACGAAAAGCAACACGTCAGAGACGTCAGGGAGGTGCTACAGAGATTGAAGAAGCATCAGTTGTGGGTCAAGCTGGAAAAATGCCAATTCCACGCCAGGGAGGTCGAGTTCCTGGGGTACAGGTTGTCAGACAAAGGACTAGCCATGGATCCAGGCAAGATGAAGGCAGTGCTGGAATGGAAGGCCCCCCAAAACAGAAAGGATGTGCAGAGGTTCCTAGGCTTCAGCAACTTCTACAGGAAGTTCATAAAGAATTTCGCTCACTTGACAGCGCCCATAACGGATTGTCTTAGTAGCAAAAAGAAGTTTGCGTGAACAGAGGATGCGCAGCAATCCTTTGAAAAACTGAAGAAGGCGTTCGCCTCGGAAGAGCAGCTCCTGCACGTGGATCCGGAGAAGCCCATGAGACTGGAGACGGATGCGTCTGACCGCGCGATCGGAGCAGTCCTTTTGTAGCCCGGGGCCAAGCAGAACTGGATGCCGTGTGCCTTTTTCTCTAGGAAGCTGAGCAAGTCGGAACAAAACTACACGGTGTATGACCGAGAACTGCTTGCGATCTATACGGCATTTCGGCAATGGAGACATCTATTGATAGGGGCGCGGCACAAGATCCAGGTCCGAACTGACCACAAGAACTTGGAATATTTGCGGACCGCGCGGGTGCTCAACCAGAGGCAGATCAGGTGGTCTCAGGAGTTCGCCAAGTTTTTCTTCGAGATCCGATACATGCCGGGAGAGGAAAACGTAAGGGCAGATGCTCTCTCCCGGAAACCGGAGTACATGGAAGGAGAGGGGCCACCAGAGACCAGGCACGTGTTCCCCGAGGACCGGTGTGTGTGTGTGGGGGAGCATTGGTTGGGAAACGAGAACTGGCAGGGCTCACCAGAGACAATGAGTTTGCTCAGACAAAAATCAGGGAACTCAGGGACGGGAAGGAAGTCAATGGAGGGTTTGAGGAAAAGGAAGGACTACTGTACTATAAGGGGGCGCTGTATGTACCTGGGGAGACTTTGAGGGGGAAAGTACTTAGACAACTCCATGACAACCCAACAGCTGGGCACTTTGGACAGCACAAGACTATGCTACTTGTCACCAGGCAGTTCTGGTGGCCAAAGGTGAGGGAAGACGTAAGAGAATATGTACGAGGGTGCGACCGATGCCAGAGGGCAAAGGGGGGAAAGGGCTGCCCCCGCGGGGCTACTGGAACCCTTGCCTACACCGGAAAGGCCCTGGGAGGTGGTGTCCATTGATTTTATGACAGATCTGCCCAAGTCAAGGGGAAAGACAGCGGTCATGGTAGTGGTCGATCTACTGACTAAAATGTGCCATTTCGTAGCTTGCTCACATGCAGCAACGGCAGAGGAGACAGCCAGGCTGTTTGTGGATCACATTTTCAGACTGCATGGGGCTCCATTGAGGGTAATCTCAGATCGCGGGAAACAATTTACTTCCCGGTTCTGGCGGAGACTCATGAGCTTGCTACAGGTCGAGGTGAGCTTCTCGATGGCGAGGCATCCAGAAACCAACGGACAAGCCGAAAGAGCGAACGGCATACTCCAGCAGTACCTGTGCTGCTATGTCAGCGAGAGGCAGAACGATTGGGTAGAGAAATTAGCTTTGGCTGAATTTGCGTACAATAACGCTGAACACGTGTCCACGGGAATGAGCCCTTTCATGGCCAATTACGGGTGTCACCCTAGGGCCTTCCTGGGGCGGGGGTAGGAAGGATGGAGTGTACCTGCGGCTGAGCAATTTGTGGAGGAAATGGAGGCCTTACACCAGCAACTCAGGCTGAACTTGGAGCGGGCGAAGGAAGTCTACAAGAGGCAGGCGGACAGGCACTGTCGAGAGGGGGAGGCCATACGGGTGGGAGACCGGGTGTGGTTGTCATCCCAAGGGTTACCCCTTAAGGGAGGGTGCAAGAAGTTGCAGCCTAGGCGGCTGGGGCCGTTTGAGGTAATGCAGCAGGTTAACCCCGTGGCATTTAAACTCAAGTTGCCTGACAGCATGAAGATATATCCGGTGTTCCATAGGTCCCTACTTTCACCTTATAGGGAGGGGCGGGAATTCCCGGGACGGGAGGGAGGGGTTACTACCCACCCGTGGGTAGAGGAGAGGGAACACTGTAACGAAGCCACGGAAATACTCGATTCAAGGTGGCGAGGTCGCCAGGTAGAGTACTTGGTAGCCTGGGAGGGGGAACCTAGGTCTGAAAACACTTGGGTCCCGGCTGAATCAATCACTGACGGGTATCTGGTGGAAGAATTCCACAGTTTGTTCCTGGAGAAGCCCAAACCATTAGCTAGATTCTGGGAGGAACAATTTGGACCCACAGATGACGAAGGGGACTTTGTGGGTTTCCCTGCCTCCGAAGAGGAGGGAGGGGAGGTGTCCGAGGGAGAAGGATCAGACTGGGAGGTTCAACCAGCAGGGAGAAGTCCGAGTGGATGGGAGGCTGGTTTTGAATCCTCAGAAGGTGATGACAGTTCCTTCAGGGGATTCCCCGCATCGTCGACCGAGGAGAGAGAGGAGGTTGTACCGGAAAATTGCGCCAGGGGTGGGGGTGGGGGTCCTGAGGAGGAGGTGGATGTCAGGGAACTGCCATCAGTGCCGGAGGGAGAGAGCAAAATCCAAAGGGATTCCGGAGAGCGTCCTGGGATTGGGAGAGGCAGCCCATCCTCTGGGGAAGAGAATCAGCGTAGCACCAGTGGAGAAGGAGGGCAGATGGGGGAAGCAGCGAGGCGGTCCCATGACGCCTTGCCGGGGACGAGCGGGGAGAGTAGAGGTCCTCTGCTGCCTACGCCCTTCTTGCGCAGAAGGCTTCCGCGCAGAGAGAGTAGGAGGCGACTAGGCGTCAAAGAGCTTCTTTGCTGGAAGAAGTTTAAGAAACGCCCACTGACGGATTCTGCCAGCAATTGAGACAGCCACGGGTGAGTGGCTGTCCGGACAGAAAAGGTTCACTCAGGCAATCCAGCCAGGTGTTTGCACTGGCTTACGCACGAGCAACCCCTAGAACCATTACACTGGGCTCCATATGAAGTTGGACTTCAACGTTCATCAATGGTCAGAGGATGATGGGAGTTGTAGTCCAACAACATCTGGTGGGCAACATGTTTGCTGTCCGTACTGTTCTTCCCCAACCTGAGCTCTCAATGGTTGGGTGTGTCGTCATTTAACATGCATGAACTACTGAACTTGTTCCTGTAGATTGTACATTTCCAGAAGGAGATGGAAGAGCTGAAAGGCAGGACAGCCAAAGCTGCCATCGAAGTGGGCACCGAGGAAGAGGAGGAGATGTTGAGGATGGCGTCAAACGACCTTCACACTTTCCTTTTGGAGATCAAAGAGACAACAGAGGTAAGAGGATTTGGGGGAGGATGTAGCCTCCAGTTGAGAAATGAAAACATACACTCAATTACGAAACAATGGAGTGAACTAACTACTGTATTTAATAAGTGGGACTTGAGGGGCGGCAGGAATCAGAAGGCCATTTCAAACCACTCACTGTGCTTTATGATACTGATTTGGCAACTGTTTCAGGCAAAGCTGAAAATAAAATATATACACCACACAATGAAGAATACAACACCCACCTTGAATTACCAGGGCTACCAAACAGAGCAGACATGGTTAGGATTACACAGAAAATGTCACAGTCTCAGCAATAGTAATACCACCATAATCGTCCCATGCAATCAACAGAATGAGAAGTTCTTCAATTTGTAAAAACCAGGACATAACAAGTAACCCACTCTCAGCCCTGAGCTAATTGAGCATGAAGGAAAACTTGGTTGCTGAAAACAATATGCTGTGCCTTAATAAACCACTTCACCCTTGGCTGCACGCCACATGTATTTTCCTTATTTATCATACTTATCCTATTCCCATCAGATTGCACTCTTGAGGAGGAAGTTTGAAAGGGGGTTTGGTGTTCCTGAAGGAGACATACTCTCTCCATTGTGTTGCCTCCGGTAAATAGGTTTGCTGGGTTTTGGGGAACCGTCCCACAAACCTTTTTTGAGCTAGAGACAAAAGTGAGATGACAGAAATGTGCATACAGTGGTACCTCGGGTTAAGAACTTAATTCGTTTTGGAGGTCCATTCTTAACCTGAAACTGTTCTTAACCTGAGGTACCACTTTAGCTAATGGGGCCTCCCGCACTCCCGCCACGTGATTTCTGTTCTCTTCCTGAAGCAAAGTTCTTAACCTGAGGTACTATTTCTGGGTTAGTGGAGTCTGTAACCTGAAGCGTCTGTAAACCGAGGTACCACTGTACAGCATAGTTCCATCTTCTGGTTAAAGAAGCTTAGTACCATGTCTGAACTGATAACCATAATTTGTGACTGCCTTGGAAACCATGGTCTGAAGGCTGTTTGGGTTTTATTCTTTTGGCAAATCATATATATTTACTGAATGATTTTTAGCCACTTCTTGTTCAAACTTCTCAGAACGACTTTAGAGCAAAAACCCACAGCAAGCCACTTAAAAATTCCAGTGGGAGTAAAATGTCTGGTTTTGAGCTAGGACTGAAAATAAAATAAAGACAGCATCAAGCAAACAGTTTGCCACAGTTGAAGCCTCTAGACCAGGGGAGGGCAGGCTTCCAAGATCTGTTGTTGCTTTTGCTAGAATCCTGATATTCAAACAGAACAGTTGCGAAAGGCACACACTTAAGGACAAATCCCTAGGCTTAGTTTTCTTTAATGTTGAGTACCAGAACAGAACAGCACCATCAGTCCTTCTCACCCAAATCCACCCTGGTTACCTTCTAGCCCAGGCTTTCTTCATTTCAGTAATATATAATGGGGCAGGTTGCTAATGTTATTGTTGCCACTGTTTTTGTTCTATTTATGTTGGGCTTTTGTTTTTTTAAGTGCTTTGTTTTGTCTAATTAGTTTAGCTATGGTTATGGGGTGGCATACAGATGCCAAAAATTTAAAAAAGAAATGAACAGGGAATTGGGATGCAGACCGGCTTGTAGAAGCCTTGTGATTCGTTAGGTCCCACCACCCCTGCCCCTGAAATGTAGAATCCTGTTTGTGGCAGCAGTTTGTGCTGCTGAACTGTGTTGTTGCCCCAGTATAGCTTTCTTCCAGACCTGATGAATTAACATTTCTGTGGAAAAGCCACATATGTGTTTTGTGACAAAGAGTTCCACCTACTTCCTGGTGGGTCTTCCTCTCCCTTTGTTCTTTTCTTGTAGTCCCTTCATGCAGACTTTAGCCTCCTGAAGACAAGCCTGCTGGAGGGGTTTGCAGGGCTGGAAGAAGCAAGACAGAAGGACATGTGTGCTCACAGTGCTGAATATCTGCACCTGCTCTATAAGAGGCCTTTGGACCCAAAAAGTGAAGCTCAACTTCAGGTAGGATCCTTGATAGGGCAAGGGGGTCAGAGCTTTGGGAGCCAGGGGGAAATTATAAATGCCTGCTAGGGAGGCAGAGGATGTTCCAAACCCCATGGTCCCCAGCAGGTAATGGTACCTGTTCCAGTTAGAGATGTCACGTAAGCTGCTCCAATCTTTAGCAAGCATTCTCTGCTGCTAGTTGCTCTCTTCTCAGAAGTTAAGCGTGTTTGCTTGGAAATGTTTTGGTAAGAGCTTTGGACAGTGTATATGAATCTCTTATCTCTTCCCCTCCTCTTTTTACTTCCCCAAGAGCCCTGTCAAGTAGAGTAGGCTGAGATATGGTGAGTGGCCCAAGGCAACCCTGTGAGTTTCATGTCTTTGGATATTAGAACCTGGGTTTCCCTAGTCTTAAAAAGGTAAAGGTAAAGGGACCCCTGACCATTAGGTCCAGTTGCGGACGACTCTGGGGTTGCGGTGCTCATCTCACTTTACTGGCCGAGGGAGCCAGCGTACAGCTTCCGGGTCATGTGGCCAGCATGACAAAGCCGCTTCTGGTGAACCAGAGCAGCGCATGGAAACGCCGTTTACCTTCCTGCCAGAGCGGTACCTATTTATCTACTTGCACTTTGACGTGGTTTCGAACTGGTAGGTTGGCAGGAGCTGGGACCGAGCAACTGGAGCTTACCTCATCACGGGGATTCGAACCGCCGACCTTCTGATCAGCAAGCCCTAGGCTCTGTGGTTTAACCCACAACGCCACCCGCGTCCCTTTTTAGTCTTAGTCAATCTCTTTATCCACTACCCCAGGGCAGCTATGTTTTGGTCCTTACAGCTGTTGGTGAACCACAACTCCCAGCACCCCTGACTGTTGGCCAGGCTGGCTGGGACTCATGGGAGTTGGAGTCCAACCACATGTGGAGAACCACAGGTTCTCCATTACACTGTACTGCTTCTCTGTGAATACATGTGCAATTCCCCAGATTGGATGGAAACTATTTGTAGACTGGATTGGGTTTTGTGACTACCAGTTGACAGTCCCTATTATTTTTGCTAAAGTGGTCATGGCCCAGATGTAGAAAATTTCCTTTGCATGCAGAAGGTCCCACCTTCAATCCCTGTCATCTCCAGGTAGAGTTGGGAGAGAACCCTGTCTGAAACTCTGGCGAAGTGTTCCAGTCAGTGTATCCAATACTGAGCTAGTTGGACCAGTAGTTTGACTCAGTACAAGGCAGCTTCCTGTGTAAATTGGCTGTTGATTCAGAACCATGAGGACTAGAATCTTCCTTATGTTTAGGGGGAAATCAATAGCCCAGTGGTAGAGCACCTGCTTTGCATGTAGAAAGTCCCAGATTCAGTCCCCAGCATATCCAAGTAGGGCTGGGAATGTTCCCTGCCTGAAACTCCTGAGAGCCACTGCCAGTCAGTCTAGACAGAACTGAGCTAGATGGACCAATGGCCTGACTCAATTTAAGGCAGCTTCCTACATTTCTGGGGTGAGCAATGCCTCTATTGTACGATTCTCTAAAGGGCAAATTGTTGACCCGCTGGCCTAGAGGCTGTTCTTTAAGCCAATGTCATCTTCTCAACATTTTTCTTTGCTCCATCTTCAAACATGGAAGGCAAAGTTTTTGTAATGAAGTGCCAGTTTAATAATTCCAACCCAATTTTTATAAAGAAAAAGTGGGTTCATCATCGGGGATTGTTTTATCACCACCAAGTGCCATGCTGCTCAATGTGACGGTTTTACAAGGACTTGAGCTGCTGCAGTTAATTTCATGGATGGGGAGGCTGGAAGCCAAATGGGCTTGTAAATACTGGGTTGCCGCAGGGAGTTCCTGCCAATGTGCAAAAAGGTTTTTTCGAACAAGAGACTTCACCTCACTCTGCTTGCGCTTCTCCTCCCCTGGGGTGTCAGAAGTTAAACAAGCTATTTCTCCCCTGAACTGTAAAATATTGAACTGAGCCTTGGCTGGTATTGTGTAATTGACACAGCTTGGATGCATGAGGATAATGTGGGATGCGACCTCTGAGCAGGAACCATAATTAAAACAGTACCTTAGAAGGCTGAATGTAAGGTCAGGGTGTTAGTTAATCTCTTATTGCCCTTGGGGGATACCTCCCTTGCCATAAGAGCCCTGCTGGATCAGGCCAAAGGCCTACCTTCTCCAGCCTCCTGTTCCTACAGTGCCCAACCAGGTGCCCCAGTGGGAAGACCACAAGCAAAATTGGAGTGCAGCTGCGCTGTCCCTACCTGCGATTCCCAGCAACTGATCACTGGTCAACAACAAATTTGTTGTCTGCGTTTTTCAGATGATTTAGGACGAATCTGATGCGCTGAATCCAAAATTCACATTGGTTTTGCTCAATCAGGTGAAGTTTTTGAGCTATGGCCACATGTCTTTTTTTACGTTTTTGTTCACATGTACGCTTGTGTGGAGCATTTTAGAAGAAGTTGCTGGGGGTAAAATGCCATGTCGAATAATTGTTTTGATTGGAAATGATTACTTTAATGACAAGAAGTATTCAGGTCCGATAGTTCTGGGTGATTATGTCGAAAAGGGATCAGTTTGAAGTCATAAAACCTCGAAATCTTCCATAAATTGGTGCGGCAAATCATAAAGTTGGGGGATCAAAACTAAGTTAATCCTGATCTTCAATCAGCACATCGTCCTGTAGCTCATTGTGATGAAATTCCAGTGCCTATCTTGGAGAACTTCCTGACATTAGTGACGAAGATGCCTCCAGGGTTGAAGGACATGAAGAAGAAGAAGTGGTTCTTGAAGATGATGCTCCACATCCATTTTCCCAAAAGGAGTTGAATGATCTAGTTCACGACCTCAGCTTGTCAAAGGACTCTGCCGAACTGTAGGCATCCAGATTGAAGGAAAAAACCTGCTCTCTGACAGTGCTCGCATCAGCTTCTTCCGCAACAGGCATCAAGAGTACCTCCGTTTTTTCTCAGAAGAGGAGGACTTGGTGTACTGTGCAGATATTGCGCAGCTTCGGCTCAAGCTTGGAGTGCCACAGTACGAACCCAAAGATTGGAGACTGTTCAGTGACAGCAGCAAGCGATCACTGAAATGTGTTCTGCTACACAACGGCAACCAGTTTGCCTCTATACCCCTGGCTCACTCAAGTACACTGAAGGAGAATTATGAAGCGGTGAAGTATGTGCTGGAGAAAATTGGTTATGATCAGCATAAGTGGTTTATTTGTGTTGACCTGAAGATGGTGAACTTTTTGTTGGGACAACAGTCTGGCTTCACCAAGTACCCATGTTTTCTGTGCATGTGGGATAGTAGGGACCGTGCTCAGCATTACACGAAGAAGGACTGGCCGTTGTGGGAGAAATTGGTGCCTTGCAAAGAAAGGAACGTCATCAATGACCCTCTGGTGGACAGAGACAGAATACTTTTCCCACCGCTGCACATCAAGCTGGGCTTAATCAAGCAGTTCACCAAGACTCTGGACAAGGATGGTGACTGCTTCACTTACTTGTGCCAGGCTTTTCCAGGATTGACCATGGAGAAGTTGAAAGCTGGCATCTTTGACGGTCCTCAGATCCGTCAGCTCATCAGAGGTCCAGAGTTCGGAAACTCAATGAACGAAGTGGAACTGGAAGCGTGGAAGGCATTTGTTCTGGTAGTGAAGAACTTTCTGGGCAACAATAAGGCCAGAAACTACGCAGAACTTGTCAACAACATGCTGACTGCTTTCAGACACCTGGGCTGCAACATGAGCGTCAAGATGCACTATCTATTTTCACATATGGACCGGTTTCCTGAGAACCTGGGTTCAATGAGTGACGAGGAAGGGGAGAGATTCCATCAGGACATGAAAGAGATGGAGACCAGGTATCAGGGTCGCTGGGACGCAGTCATGATGGCTGACTACTGTTGGACTCTGAAGAGAGACCTCCCTGCCACTGAGCATTCCAGGAGTTCCAAGAAATGGAAGTTCAAGCCCTGAAGTTTGAAAAATGGTGAAGGAACATGCAGTTTACGTGTACTTACCTTTATCAATGACCACCATTCGACTTCCGATTTCCGCCGCGGATAGAAAGGGAGCGTGGAAAGCCTCGTCGGGGTTTTCCGAACAACACAGGGGCTTGGGGGAGTTGCAAAGGCACTGCACCCCCCAAAAATCTCAAGGGGGATACCCTTGAGGGATGGCTAACCGGCAGCGCGGAAGCGGTCCGGCCGTTTTTTCGGGGTTTTTTTCTTGAAGAGCTCGAAGACGACGGGATTGCAAGCACAAGAGGAAGGAACCGACCCTGTGTTGCGATGTCTCCGGCTCTCGCTAGAGAAAGCGGCGAATCTCCAAAAATTTAAGAACGGACCCTTAGTGTGAGAGAAGTATTTTAAAATTAAAATTTTAAAGAACACACTAAGTGAACGCTGGATGTTGAAGGATTAAATTAAGGAATCCATCCCGGTGGAGGAGTTAAAATGGCGCAGGATACAAAGTCGCAGGAGTAAAGGAAGGAAGCAGCCTCTAGTCTGACTGCGTGATTAGAAACGTAATAACCACAGAGCTGATTGAAAGAGCAGCTTGAGACGACAAGTAGAAGTTTAATTTAAAAGAAAACAGGGAAAGCTTGGAAGCTGCGTTAAAAATAACAAAGTTACAGTAAAGACAAGAATAAGGGAAGATTGGCAGAAACGTCTCTTCTCTTTTAAATAAGAACTGCCTAAGAAAAAAGGTTATGTTTGACTGCAATGATCTTGGGTACTCTTTCGATCCTTACTGCTAAAAAACTGGACTTAAGTTAACCCCCTCTTTGCCGTTTTCTTTTTCATTGTTTTTTGCGCTCTGGGAAAGATTCACATTTAAGCGTTGGAGCTAGAAAAAACCAGAAATAATTGGAATGCGGAAAATATCACCCGATAAACCCTGGGAAAATTTGGAAAATAACTTTGAGTGTTAAAAACAGGGGGTTTTACACCCCAGTAGACTATAATTGGATATGTACAACATTTTGAATTGGACATTCACATCTCTTATGGACTTGAAAATATAAACAGGAAATTGGGACAGAATCCGGACCAGTGATTTGGTGACAGAGATGGGACCAGTGATTTCTTCTTTTTTGTGATAGAGACTGAAACAGTGATTTGGTGATAGAGATTGGACCAGTGATCTCCTTTTCTTCAGGGACAGAGACTGAAACAGTGATTTCGTGATAGAGACCGGACCAGTGATTTTGTGATATTGGGATCTAATTGGTTTACAGGTCTGATTTAGATCGTGGATTAAAGCCTGAATTATTAGCCTTACTAAACCTTGGATTAGGACATGGACTAAGTTATAGAATATCCTTTACAAGTGACGGATTAAACCGGCAAGTGGTGGAAGATTAAAGAAATTAAAAGAAATCGGAACTGAACATTAATTAATTATTTAATTATTTAATTTTAAAAAAGGAACTACTGCTCTCCCATCAATCTACGTGGACTTTAGAAAACCACTTTAACAGGAATAACTCATACATAAGTAATAATTATTTGAGTCTTGGAGAAATTTGCCAAACTTTCAGAGGGTGTTAATGTTTTAAGGGACGGTTTGGGAAAACACAAACTATATTGTCATATACTATTAATAATACCCTAGGAGGGGGGAATCATTTGAAGAAAAACAAGAGCCTAAGGAAGGTACTAAGGTGTATAAACAAGACTTTAAGATTGCCAAGGTCGAGATATACTGGGATTATAAGTGAAGCTATTTTTTTTTTATTTCTGGACATTTTATTATCCAACTGGATTTGTAACTGTTTATTATAATAGTACATATTTTCTGGTGGTACTCGGAGATATTATGGTTGTACTTTAGGATACAGCTGAATTAATTGACTTCAAAGGTAATACTCTGTCTGAAAAAAAGGAAATACAATAGAAAGTGATATAAAAGAAATTGTAAGAATATAAAATAAGAAAAACAAAATCGCATGGGCGTAATAAGGTAAATTAAAGGAGAGTGGTTAAGACATAGAAAAATAAGAAAGAAAAAAAAAGATTGTGCGCCCCTCAGGGGAGAGACAGAAAATTAACACAGACTATTGTGTAAATAATCACAAAATGTCAGGGAAAAATGGAAAAAAGGTAGCAGGGACTCCTGGAGACAGAAAGGCCTCACGACAAGAGGAAATTAAAGACCTAGACATATTGTGGTTAAAGATCAAAGAGGAATTTAAACAGAGTGAACTACATACGGAAAGTAAATTAGGAGAGGTGCAGGAACAGATAGATAAAAAAATTGAAGGAGCTGTGGGAGAACTCACTATTAAAATACAAGACCTATCAGTTAGATCAAAAGTAATAGAGGAATCAAACAAGAAAATTCAAAAAGAAATGAAGGAACATAAAAGGGAGACAGAAAAAAATGAAGGAGGAAATAAGAGATTTGAACAAATCACAAGAACAGATTGAGGATAGCTTATGTGCTGGTCCAGGGGGGAGGTTACCGTGGGGTGAGGTCCAGGACCTGAGTTGAGGGTCACCAGACAGTCCTCCTCGGGCAAAGCAGGGTCCACAGCGAGAAGCCAGGCAAGGACAGGAACTCTGGGGGAACAGGACTGGATGCTGGCCGAAACAGCTCATCAGCGACGTTGCTCCTGCAACCTGGGACCTGGCTGACTGGCCTTTATCTTCTCTGAGGCCAGGGGCGGTCCCGGCCCCCAGGAGACCCGCCTCTCCTGGCCTTAAGGCGAGCACTCCTCCTGGGAGAAACCAGTTCCCTTCGCCTCTCTGCCCTGAGCCTCTGCAGTTCAGGAGAGGCTGAAGGGTTACTGGACCCAGGGGAGACTCACCTGTAGGCACTGAGTCCTCAACCACCTCTGGAGCCAGAGTGGATTCACCTGGTGCCTGCTCCTGAGGATCCGGCGCCGGTGCAGGCGCTTCAGAATCAAGGCCCTGCCCCAGTTCAGCCGGCCCTGGAGGCGGGGACTCCTGTGCAGGCTGGGATTCCTCCGGTTCAGCCTCTGAATCGGATTCCCAGGCCATCACAATGTGCCTTGTCGCTCCAGAATCGACGGCAAATTTTCCTTTGGCCTTTGGAGAAGCAGTGCTAACAAACAAAGCCTTGTTTTTCATTGGCCTAGGCTTTCCACCCCCCTTCTGTTTCTGGCCATCTGCAGGCTGCTTCTTTTGTTTATTTCCAGTCTTTGGGCAAAATTTCTGAAAATGACCTTGGTTCCCACAGTTCCAGCACTTCACAGCTGCCAACGCCTTGGCTCCCCCTGGAGGCTGGAATGCTGTCTCACATTGCTCCCCCTGAAGCGCACAAGCTGACTCAGCTGCATTCCTCCTATCATATTCGTTTTGCAAGGTCGCCAAAACCTTTGTAGCAGTGAGGTCCTGCGCAGGAAGAGTTGCCAGCTGGCTTGCCACAACATGATAGCTTTCATCCAGGGAGTCCAGGATAAGGATTGCAAACAGAGACTCAGGCATATTGAAACCTCTATGAGTCAATTCCTGTCTGAGATGCTGCAAATGTAAAACATGGGCTCTAAGGTCTTCCCCTGGCTCCAAACGCTTCCTGTGCAGCTTTCTGAAGTAAAGCAACACAGACCCAGCTTCTTGTCGGAGATGACAGGCCTTAAGCCCTTCCCACATCTCACGGGCACTGGCCTTTCCAGCCAGGGTGATTAACTCTTCAGGAGCTACCGAGAGCAAAATTATTCACATGGCTCTTGAATCCTGTGCCTCCCATTCATCTGTCAAAGGGGCTGGGGGTCCTCAGAAATAGCTTTCCACACACCAAGCCTTCTCATCTGGCCCTCACAGTACCTTGCCCAGGTCTGATAATTGTGGCCATTGAGCTTTGGGCACGGAGCACCATCACAGCTTAGCTATGACAGAAATGCGTCAGAAACAACTCAATTTAAAATTCAGAGGAGTAGAAGAAGAAATCCATGAGAATATAAAAGAAAAAATGATAAGAGAATTAGCAAAATGGTTGGAAATAAAAGAGGAAGAAGTAGCCTGTACTGTAGAAAGCGCATTTAGAATAAGGGTGAAATCCCAGCAGCTCAAACTAAAAAAATCTCCTGGTGATTGTTTGATGATTTTCAACTCAATTGAGATGAAAAATATGATATTAAGAACAAGTTACCGAAAAAAATTAATAATTGAAAACAGAACAATTATTATATACAAAGAAATACCAATTAGACTTTTGCGTAAAAGACAAGGATACCGACAAATAGTAAGTGTCTTACAGAGAAACAATATACAATATAGATGGGAGTTCCCCAAAGGAATTACCTTCTATTATAAAGATAAAAGATTCAGATTGACAGATACACAAGAAGCAGAAATTTTTTTGAGAAGATATGAGAAGGAGCTAGGAAAAGGGGAAGAAAGGTACGGAGGAGGAGGGAGATATACAGAAAGGAGGAAGGAAAAGAAGGCAAAAAACACAAAGAAGCAAAAGAGAGAGAGAGAAGAGGAAGAAGAGGAAGTGGAAGAGGAAGGAGCAGCAGGAGGAGAAGAAGAGGAGGAGGAAGAAGAAGAGTTAACGGAGAAGAGGTTGACTAGAATATAAATTAAAGTCAAACAATATAATGTCGTTAAAGGTTCTGTCCTGGAATGTAAATGGTTTGAACGAAAAATCTAAAAGGAATAAAATTCAAAAGGTGTTAAAGAATAAAAATTATGATGTGATCTGTTTTCAGGAAACACACGTGGCAAAAAAACAGAAACATATACTAGCAAATAAAAGGTTGGGGGTAGAGTTTGTTAATTCAGACACTAATAAAAAAAGAGGAGTTGTGATATACGTGAAGGAGAAATGGGACCCAATATTAATATGTAAGGACGATGAAGGAAGGATCTTAGGAGTACAAATCAACCATCAGGGAGAAAAGATTAACGTTATAAATGTCTATGCACCAAATATGAATAAAGCTGAATTCTTTAAAAAATTGGAACCAATGCTAACAGAATTGGAGGATCATAAGATGATTTTACTTGGAGATTTGAATGCCGTGCCAACACCTGAATTAGATAGAAGCGTGAAAAGAAGAAAACTTAAGCAGGGGAAATTACCAAGAACATTTAATAATCTGGTGGAAAATCTAGATCTGATAGACATCTGGAGACATAAAAATCCAGCAACGAAACAATATACACACCTGTCAGAACCACACCAAAGTTGGGCCAGGTTGGATCAAATATGGGTCTCAAGAGAATTAACATTAAGAGCACTTAAATGTGAAATCCAACCCAGAACTCTTTCAGATCATAGCTCAGTAACGTTGGAGATAAAAAGCAGATTACAAGGAACATACAGATGGAGAATGAACGATTATCTTTTTGAAAATGAGGAAATAATTGAGAAGGCCAAAAGAAAGT